ATTTAATTGTTCAAAGAAATTTGTCCCTAATTTTATTGGTACTGTTTGGAATACATATAGTAATTTGGGCAATATGTTCATTTTGATCGTCAAAATTCTACCAATTAATAATATTGGTAATTTAGTCCAATTTTCCTAATTTTTTTGTATTTGTAATAGGAGTGTATCATAGTTATCCCTCTTTATGGTGGTACACCTTTCTGATAGCCAAATTTCTAAATATTTAAGATTTCTAGCTTCTCCTCTAGTTCTGTCTATTGCTTAAATTCTTAGTCAATATTTTAGTTTTGTCTTTATTCATTTTAAATCCTGCTACTGTGCCAAATTGTTTATGTCTTGTAGTAAAGTAGGTCCAGATTCTAAAGGTTCCTCAATAATAAATGGCAAGTCGTCTGCGAATGCTTGGACTTCATATTCTTGTGACTTAATTTTTAATCCCTTTATTTCCAAATTATCTCTAATTTGAGACATTAGTATCTCCACAGACAGAATGAATAACAGAGGAGACAGCGGGCAACCCTGTCTTACTCCTTACTCCTTACTCCAAAAGCTTTCTGTTTGTCCCCATTAATTATTATTTTTGCCCTCTGTGTAGTATATATGGCTCTAATCATTTCTATGAATTTTTCTCTGAAATTCGTTCATATTAATCGGCCGAAGAGGTTGTAGAAAAAATGCTTTTAAAAGCCTCTGACGATCCCAGCTGAGTTGCCTGATCATCAGAGGTTTTTGAAAGCATTTTTTTTACAACCTCAAAATCTGTATCTACTTTAGGTATGAGTGTCACATGCCTCTTTCCATGAATCTGGCATTTTAGCCTCTAATAATAATTCATTAAATAAGTCTAACATTATATTACTAATCACTTCTTCCAATATTTTATACAACTCGGCGGTAAGGTGCTTTTGGTCCAGGTGCTTTTCCATTTTTTTTTCTTTTTATTGCTTCTGTTAATTCCATCATTGTTATTCTTTCATCTACCATTCCTTTAAATTGTTCTGATATTTTAATTAAATCTGATTTTTCCAGATAGTTTTGTATCTCCTCCTCGGGAGAGATAATTCACTATTAAATGTAGATTATAAGATTTTTGCTTCAATAATGGCAAATAGGTTGAAAAAACCATTAAATGAATATATCCACAGTGATCAAAATGGATTCTTACCAAAAAGGCAAATTAGAGATAATATGAGGATGATTTTGAATACCTTGGAATATTATGAGATTCACCCAGAAAAACAAATGGCGTTAATGTTTCTAGATGCACAAAAAGCTTTTGATAATGTGAACTGTCAGTTTATGATAAAGCAATTACAGAGAATGGATTTTGGGGAGAGATTTATAAATACTATAAAAACAATATACGACAGACAATTTGCCAAGATAATGATGAACGGAGAAATGACAGGAAAGATTAATATAATGAAGGGCACCAGGCAAGGATGCCCACTATCACCATTGCTGTTTATTTTGACTCTAGAAGTTTTAAACGGGAAAGACTTACTCTCAATATCTTAATACGATCATGAGGAAATTTATATGGCAAAGGAAAAAAGTAAGAATAAGTTTAAGAATTTTGCAAGGCACAAGACTACGAGGGGCATTTGGTTTACCAAATTGGGAATTATATTATCAAGCAGCAGCATTGACATGGTTGAAAGAATGGATTGAATTAAGAAATACAGGGTTGTTAACACTGGAAGGGCATGGTTTACAACTGGGATGGCATGCCTTTTTATGGCATGGTAGAAGTAAGATACATACATACTTTCATAGACATTATATAAGAAATGCATTGTTACTGGTATGGGAGAAGGTTAGAGATAAATTTTATGTGAAAATACCAACATGGTTATTGGAACAGAAACTTTAATACACCCAAATGTCTTTAATTTTGGAAATATTGTTAGATATAATGAGTTATTAATGGATAAGGAGGAATTGAAAGAGAAACGAGAATTGGAACAACAGGGAATTGAGATAGATTGGTACATGTATATGCAGATAAGATCAAGATATGAAAAAGATGTTAAATTACATGGTTTTTATATGGAAAAGACTGAACTGGATAAGATACTCATGGGAACAGAGGAAAACTTAATAATTTTTTTTTATAACTTTTTAGTGTATATTGAGTTGGAGGAGGAGCAAGTAAAAGAAATGATGATATTTTGAAATGTTTTATAGATGGCATATGCCACCAGAGAAGTTAGCAAAATATGTTTAAAGATAAATCGGCTACCTGCTGGAAATGTCATCAAACACCAGGATCTTATCACCATATGTGGTGGACGTATCCCAAAGCAAAAAATTACTGGTACAAGATTAAAATCTGGCTGGAAGAAATGATACAGCAACGTATTGAATTTAAACCAGAGTTGTTCCTACTGGGTATCTTTCCAGAAAAAATTAGTAAGGAAAATGTCTATTTGATCATACATGTAATAACAGCTGCAAGAATTGTGTATGCTCAAAATTGGAAATCAGAGAAAATACCTTTGGAAGAAGAAGTAATAATTTTTTTTTTTAGATTGTGCAGAAATGAATAGATTAACTCTGATGAATAAAGATAAGGAGGAATCAGAATATTTTAAAACATGGAATTATTTTTATAGTTGGTTGGAAAAGAGATATAAATGACTGATACCATAATTATGTACAAATGATGATTACAATATTGATTTAGCAATGAAATGTTAGAATGGTTTGGATGAAGATGAAGATAGAAGAAACTTACGGAAGATGGAGAAGAAGCCTAGAAGATAACACCGAGATGTCACAGGGAAGGGAGGATTGATGCTTTAAATGTTTGTTTCTCTTAAAAAAAAATAACTAAAAAATGTTTTTAAAAGAAAAAAAAGCCTCTGACGATCAGGCAACTCAGCTGGGATCATCAGAGGCTTTTAAAAGCATTTTCTTTTTTACAACCTCTTTGGCCAAGGTAGAAAAAATGCTTTTAAAAGGCTCTGACGATCCCATCTGAGTTGCGCGATCATCAGAGACTTTTTTAAAAATTTTTAAAAGCATTTTTTTTTTTGGCTGAAGAGGTTGTAGAAAAAATGCTTTTAAAAATTAAAAAAAAAAGCCTCTGATGATCGTGCAGCTCAGCTGGGCATGGGGGGGTGGAAGGGATTTTTGCTACCGGTTCTCTGAATCACCTGCCGCCATTGCTACCGCATTGGGCAATCCAGTCTGAACCCGGAGAATTTCACCCCTGGTTTGATGTAGAATTATCTTTTCAACCCATTCTGGAAAGTCTTAATATTTTCTACATGTAGAATAACCTTAAGTATGAGAAAAACAGAAATAAGGAAGAATGTCTTGATAGAACAATGAATTAATGCAAAATTCCTTTGCTACATAACCGGAGATTTTAATGAAGTGATTGGAGAGTCATTTGTCTAAATAGTATTAGGGTCTTCTCCTTGAGCAGGATGGTGTACTAGGTATTAGTAGGAGTTATTTAATAAATCACCATAGATTGCACAATAAGAGTTAGTGTTAGGGTTAGGGTTAGGGTTACATTTCATTGTCTCTTCCAAAAAAATAATCCATTCTCCAAGAACTTTTGTGAGCTTATGAACTTTTCATGAGTGACAAGCTGAGCTTTCTGTCTCTATCAGAGATTTAGGGAAATGAAGTGGTGCTCCTTCTTAGATGTGGCTTGCACAGTTTGAAACAACTATATGTTTGCAATAGTCTCTGCTTCTCATTTATCTATCAAAGAATTCTTAACTCTCAGATTCTAACATCTGGCTAAAAGAAATTAATTAGACTCTCAAATAGCCTTGTACCAGTGAGGAAAGATTAGATATGATTTATCTTCAATTAGTTATTTAAGTAGTGGACATAAAACATAATTAAAGGACCTTACCTAATTCCAAAAGCCTATTTTCATTGTGTTTCAGTTTATTCCTACCTTTCCTGAAAATAATATCAAATAAATAATGGGGTGGACATGTACATTTCCATGCAATATTGATTATGAAATTTCTAAGCATACATACTGTATTTAATAATAGTTATTGGAATATGAAGAATGAGTGAATGAAACTTGAATATGTTGTTCTCTTCTCTGTTATATTGCTTTCAATTGTCTCTTTCTTCTATTCTCTTTCAAGTAGCTCCATTCATTTCTTCAAGGCATTTCTTTCAACAATTCAGCTGGGGAGAGAGTGTTCCTGAATGAGAAAGGAGAAGCAACAGGTGGATTCGACATCACCAACTTGATCACTTTTCCAAACAGATCTTTTCAGAGAGTTAGAGTTGGAAAGCTGGATTTAGAGGCTCCAAAAGGGAAGGAATTATTCATTGATGAAGATGTGATTTTCTGGAACTCAACTTTTAACCAGGTTTGAATTATTGTATCAAACATGCTTTAATCCATGATGTTTCGATATTGAAGGTAATACCTTTAGAAATTCGATTTCTGTTTTTTTAAAATAAAGATTGGCACATTCTTTTCAAATTTTGTTGATGATCCAGCACTCATCAATGTGACAAAATGATATCACAATGCAAAAAGCCAAGTTTCTATATTTGGTTTGCATTTCCATTTGAAATCACAAGAGTGGCCATGTTTCCATGAATTTATCACATGGGTAATTATTTGCTTACCCTGCCCTTCAAACAGGACCTTTCCTACATCATTGCAAAACTAATTTCCCTATATAAAGGATCAAAAATACAAACAGTTTTAAATATCTCCCTTTTCAAATCCTTTTATGATTATCACCAGGTTCCTCCACTTTCTCGATGCAATGACCCTTGTTTCCCTGGGTCCTGGAAGAAGGGGATTGAGGGGGATCAGTTCTGCTGCTATGACTGTATTCCCTGCCCAGAAGGGAAGATTTCAAATCAAAATGGTAGGGTATAAATTCTACCATTTTTCCTTAGATTTAAGCAAACATTAATAAGCTACTTAATGCATAAAATTGATAAGGTGATATTCAGTATTATGGAATGCATAGATGAAAAATTTCTTGACTTTTCTTATAGATATGGAAGATTGCTTTGAATGTTCAGAAGACCATCATCCAAATAAAGAAAAGAAAGGATGTATTTCAAAAGTGCTGATGTTTCTAACCTTTAAAGAAACCTTAGGAATTGGTTTATCCTCAGTAGCTCTTGCTTTCTTCTTCTTGACATCTTGGGTACTTGGAACTTTTATTAAGTACAGGGATACTCCTATTGTCAAAGCCAACAATCGGTCCCTCACCTACACCCTTCTTGTCTCTCTTCAGCTCTGTTTTCTCTCTTCTTTGCTCTTCCTCAGCCAACCTGGCAAAGTGACCTGCCTTCTCCGACAACCAACTTTTGGCATCACCTTCTCTGTGGCCATTTCTAGTGTATTGGCCAAAACCTTCACTGTGGTTGTGGCTTTCATGGCCACTAAACCAGGTTCTCAGATGAGAAAATGGGTGGGGAAAAGATTGGTCTTTTCTATTGTCCTCTCCTGCTCTCTCTTCCAAGTATGTATTTCCATTCTTTGGTTGTCAACATCTCCCCCATTCCCTGAGTTGGACACACATTCACAGTCCCAAGAAATGATTTTACAATGCAATGAGGGGTCAGCTTTCTTCTTCTATTGTGTCTTGGGCTACATGGGTATCTTGGCCATTGCCAGCTTTATTGTGGCTTTTTTTGCCCGTAAATTACCCGACAGCTTTAATGAAGCCAAGTTTATCACCTTCAGCATGTTGGCCTTTTGCAGTGTGTGGATCTCCTTCTTTCCAGCCTATCTGAGCACAAAAGGCAAAGCCATGGTAGCTGTGGAGGTCTTCTCCATCTTGTCCTCCGGTGCTGCATTACTGGGATGCATATTCCTGCCAAAATGCTACATCATTGTTTTCCGGCCACAGCTCAACCACAGGGAGCATCTCACAAAAAGAAATTAGTACTCCATGTGATCTTCTTTCCTCAAACAAATTGCTGACAAAAAAAAAAGAGAAAGATTTCTACAAGAAATATATATATAAAAATATTTCTTTCAAAAAGGATTTGTGGAGGATTATTGTTAACACTGATGTTTATTATAGATACACATTCCAAGAGAAGTACTTGTGTGTTTCCTGGTTGTTGAATATAACATTTTGTCTCTTTCAACAGTCTATTTCAGCAGTGTCAAACCTTATTTCATTGAGGGCCGCATCAGGGTTGCATTGGAGCTCGGGGGAGGGGCAGAAGTCATGGCCAAGGTGGGCGTGACTGGGCTGGGCATGGCCAAGGTGGGCATGGCCAAGGTGGGCATGGCCAAGGTGCACATGGCTGGGCTGGGCATGACCAGGGTGTGTGTGGCCAGCTCGATGTCAGTCATGACACGGCACCTACGGTGGCCTGTGCAGGGCTGGGGGGGAATCCATTGTTTCCAGCAGAGGAAGGCGAGATCAGGGGGAGAGGCTGTGATGGCCTCCTACAGTCCTTTGCCAGCAAAAACAGAGCTTGGTAGGATGTAAATCTGGTGGCCCACGGGCTGGAGGCATCGCACCTAGGCCACGCCCACCCCAGCTCCCTGAATGGGAAAAATGTCGCAAAAGGTCATGTGATGTCAATGTGATGCAGCGATGTTTAACATCCATGGTTTAGAACAGGTGCTTAGATGTGGCCTGCTAGCCCCCCTGGTAACATCAAAGGACCGGCCTGGTGACAGAAGAGATCTGAGCCCACTACAGGCGCCTCCTAACATGAGTGACATCATGCTGGCCATGCCTATCCTGGCCATTCCCCCCCAGAACCCCCCAAGGTCAAACACAACTCTGATGCGACCCTCAATGAAATCGAGTTTGACATCCCTGGTTTAGAATAAGAAGTCTGGCATTTTTCACGAAAATCAGCTGAAATTCAGCTCAAATCCTAGAAAGAAACCTGGAGGAAAAATTTTGAGTGTTCACTAGATGGAGGTGACAGAAAGTTGTAAATTTATATAGGTAAACATGTAGATATATAGATGATAAACATATAGGTAGGTATTTAAGTAGGTAGGTAGGTAGGTAGGTAGGTAGATAGATAGATAGATAGATAGATAGATAGATAGATAGATAGAGTAGACAGACAGACAGACATTTCATAGATGCTATGGATAGGAAAAATGGACCAAATTATAATGATAGTCCAACCCTAATTAAAAAGGAGTTACTCTGGACTTCTCTGCAAGTGATGCTTCTCCTGTTCTTATCATTGGTGACAGGATGTCCCACATAGTTTACCAGTTTTATAAATTGAAATTTAAGGAATATCCTTATATAAAACCTTATGACATATCATTGTAAGGAGTATTCTTTTCTACTTATTTAAGAGAATTTATATGTTCACCCATTTACTGTCAGTGTCGCTGAGCTGCTTAAAAAAAAAATAAAAAAAATATACAAAGAATAAAAACACACCGCTGGGGATAACAATCAGTAAATCGATTGAGCCACTTCATAGGTTCCAACCCATTCTGGGTTCCACAAGCTAATTGACAAAACCAGATGCTCAGGGCTTTGCAAAAGAGGGTGAAAGTAGGGACCAATCTAGTATCAGTGTAGATGATGTTCCAGAGGGAGGGAGCCATCATGAAGAAGAGACTTCTTCTGGGTCCCCACAGATTTCCTTACTTAAGAGAGAGGACTCACATCGTTCGCTGCCTCCCTGCTCCACTGGATCACATGGATGTGATCAGGAAGAGTCAATTCTTCAAATAACCTGGTCCCAAGCCATGTAGCATTGAAAGGGGACAACCAGCACCTTGAATTGTACCTAGAAGCACATTGTCAGAAAATGCAACTCCCACAGCAAAGGTGACATCTGTGCCAAAGGTGCTTTATTTTTAACAGGCAATGGGACTTTCTTGGATTTTTTTTGAAGATGTTCACCAGCCACCATCCCTTTCGGATCATCTTGGGATCAAAGAGCCTGAAACTTCAAATCCTATTATAAATTGGAAACCGGAACTCTGTCTTTTACAGCTTCAACTTATCAACTTGTCCAAGTACAAGCAGCAGACCAGAAGATCCATTGCAGTAACTGGCAGAAAACCCCAAAGGGGGAATTACCAAGTTACTGGTTAAATACACAGATTTTCCAGATTTTTTGTTGGGGAAGAAGAAGCAGTCCTTCTCCCATGTAGAGACCACAACTATTCTTTTGACCCAGTCCTGTGGGATGGAGCAGGGGTGAAATCCAGCAGGTTCTGACAGATTCTGGAGAACTGGTAGTGGTAATTTTGAGTAGTTCAGAGAACCAGTAGCGGGAATTTTGAGTAGTTCAGAGAACTAGCAAATACCACCTATGGCTGGTCCCAGAGTGGGGTGGAAATGGAGATTTTGCAGTATCCTACCCCTGCCATGCCCACCAAGCCACACCCACAGAACTGGTAATAAAAAAAATTGAATTCCACCACTGGTAAAATAATAAAATAAAAAATAAAGTTAAAGAAAAATAAAGTAAAATAAAAATAAAGTAAAATTAATCTGAAGGATTAGAAGATGAAATGAGCAATGACATGATATAAATTCAATCTAATTTAATCTAATCTAATCTAATTAAATTTTGTTAGATAGTGCCAAATGTTCAAGTCTGTCAAGATCCTTCTGTATCTTGAGCCTATCTTCTGGAGTGTTGGCTATTCCTGCCAGCTTGGTGTCATCTTTAAATCTGATGAGTTCCCCATCTATCCCCTCGTCCAAGTCATTGATGAAGATGTTGAAGAGCACTGGGCGTAAAACAGATACTATTAGTGATGGAGACAACTGTAACTTTATGGAGCAAATTGAGATTTTGCCCATGCCTTGCCCATGAGCTTCCTATTCCTGTGCAAGAAATGTGTTCTATTGGTTGTTGTCGGACTCCCAGGGGACTATGCAGGGGTCATAGCTCACTTTGTAGGCAGTCAGAATCAAGTTTGGTTGAACCTTGGACTGATATAATGTTCCTTGGTGCCATGTGGTTAGCTCTGCTGCAAGATGGATAGAGGGCTAATCCTATTATGTCCTGGGGAGGGATGGTCTTTTGTCTTGTAGATAGGCTGGACCAGTCTTTTTTCTTGTAGATAGGCTGGCACCAAAATATATGCTGGGGGCAGTGAGCTGAGGCTGAGTTTCTGTTTTAAGGGAAATATTCTGCCTTTTTAATATTTCCTAAAATATTTCATTCTTCTAGTAAAGGGGAGGCTGTTAACTTTCTACAGTACATTGTGAAAGACATTCTAGGGAGATCTAGAAATAATGGAAAACTCCTTAAAATGAGGAAATGTCAAAACATCTATGCATGTTAATACTATAAAAGGAAGGTGAAATGCATTTAGCATTCATAGTAAAAACAACATAAATTTCAAAAGAAGAAGTCTATTTTGTGTGGCAAATTCCCCCTTGTACACTTTATTAGCAATTCTGCATTTCAAAAAGCATTTGAACAACAGACACTTATTCTTTCATCAAAATCTAAGTAATTATGTCCTACAGGAATCACCTTATTTTCTTCCCTAGGCAAAAACATCAAAGACTGCACAGAAGGTTATTTCAATTCAACAACAATCAACGTATCTTGAACCCCAGAGAGATTGGCACAAAAATAATAATGGCTGTGTGTCAGAGTCATTGTAATGAGTTTCCTCCCTCTATTCTCTTCTTCCAGTGTATCTGTTCAAACGCTGATTCTATTGAACACACAAATTTTCACTCTCATGGATATCCAAATACCTATTGGTGAATTCTCTGATTAGGTGGACTCTCAGATATAAACCTTGAATAAATCACTGTATTAGCTATTGGAATAATGCAACCTTTATTGTAGGATGAGATGAAAGACAGAGACATTATCAAAATGTGGCTCCTTCTAGTGTTTGTGGTGAACAAAATAGTGACTCTGAGCTGCCCAGCAAGTGATGCTTTCCTTGTTCCACATGAGTGGTACCAACCTGGTGACCTCATCGTTGGTGGGATCATGTCCCACACCTATTACAACCTTCATGAAATTAATTTTAATGAACATCCTTATGAAACATCTTATGACACACCAAAGTAAGGATTCTTTTTTCCTTTTTCTAATGTTAATTAGTTTCCCAAAAATTGCTTTTGAGAGTAAAAGGTTCTCAGTAAAAATGTAGCCTTTATATCTAATCCAAGTCTATTTTTCAAATGTTTTTAGTTATGGAATAAACCTTTTTCTTTACTTTATGGTGAAGTGTTTGTCATATAATGTATGAAAATTTGGTTGAAATCATCTTTTGAAGAACATTTAGTAAGCTTAAGATAATGTTGTGTTTTTTTGAAAAAAAATCGGTATTGTCACTCCTAACAAAAGATGCATACAATAAATGACTGATACATGCTAGAATTATTCATATTCCATTCCTTGGGGGAAATTAGACACTAAATGAAGTTTCATGAGAATTTGCCAACTTCCTTTTTCAACTGAGGTATTTAAATCATTTGCAGTGTATTAATCAAATTCTACCAGCACATCCTTGCCTTGGCCTTTGCTGTGAAGGAGATCAATGAGGATTTCCAGATCTTACCTAATGTCACTCTTGGGTTCCACATCTATGACAGTTACTACGTTTCAAGGAAGACCTATCGCAGCATTCTGGACCTACTTTTTAAGTCCCAGGAATTTGTCCCTAACTACAAATGTGACACCCAGAAGAATCTAATGGCTATCATTGGGGGATTGAATTTTGTCACATCATCTTATATAGCTGAAATTACAGGATTGTTTAAGATTCCACAAGTAAGTTCTGAAAGGGTTGAGCAGAAAATTCTTAATTTTATGGTTGTTAACAGAATAATTAATGGGAATCAAACATTAGGCTTGGATTTCTGTTAAGATGTTCTACATGGCTTAAGTTCTACTACTTAGCCTTCTTTTCTGAAACTACAATGCCAGATACAGGAAATGAGTATCAAGGATCAATATCTGAGAGAAGATTTGAATGGCTTCTTTTAAAACAGTTGATCTAGTACATGTCCTTGACATATTTTCACGCAATGAGAACATCCTCAGAATAACAGAGTTGGAAAGGACCTTGGAGGTCTTCTAGTCCAAGAAATTTATTATTAGATTCTTAGAAGAATGTTTGGGGGGGGGAATACTCCTTGGATATATTTTATATGAAAACAAGATAGGAAAATTAAATTTAAACTAAAGACTCTAAAGAATGCTCCTGGAATTTCTTTCAGCTGACATATGGCTCATTAGCCCAAGAGGAATTTCAGACCAGTAAGCTCTCTTCGCTATATTTCATGGTCCCCAAAGAGGACCATCAATACATTGGGATCATCCAACTGCTTCACCATTTCAGGTGGACGTGGATTGGGATATTTTCAATTGATAACAGCAATGGAGAAAATTTCTTACAGAAAATGCAGCCCTTACTTTCACAGAACGGAATCTGCTCAGCGGTTATAGAAAGGCTTGCTCAACAACTCCACTTGGAAAGATTCTTAGAACTTTCTCAAATGATCTCCATTATTTCCAATAATATGAGGAATAGCAAAGCCAATGTGTTTCTTGTCTACGGAGAAGCCTATATAATTATATGGCTAAGATTTGTCACATTTCTGGTAGATCCTGAAAGCAAGGAAACTGCATTATTAAAGAAGGTGTGGATCATGACTGCACAGATTGATTTTGTATTACCAGGCACTCATATCAAATGGGATCTGAAGATGTACAATGGGGCTATTTCCTTCACTGTTCACTCAACAGCAGTTGTAGGTTTCAAGGAGTTTCTTCAGACCATAAATCTTCTTTCAGACTACAGAGATGGGTTTCGGCAGAATGTTTGGGAACAATCATTTGATTGTTCATTTCCAAAACCAGAATTACAAGGAATGGACAATTCTCAGTGCACTGGCGAGATGAAGCTGGAGGATCTTCCTTCACCTGTGTTTGAAATGGAAATGACTGGCCACAGCTACAGTGTCTACAATGCTGTTTATGCTGTGGCTCATGCTTTGCAGGCTCTACACATGTTGGGGTTCAATTGGAAGAAAAGTATGAGTAAAAACAATGATCTTCCAAATCTGCAGCCTTGGCAGGTATTCTCTTTGAATTGGACTCTTCTTTCATTTCAGTGAGCAGTTTGATGTAGAATTATGCTTTGAACCCATTCTGGAAAGTCTTAATATTTTCTGCATGTAGAATTATCTTAAGTATGAGAAAAACATAGAAATAAGGAAGAATGTCTTGATAGAACAATGAATTAATGCAAAAACTTGTCTTTGCTACATAACTGGAGATTTTAATGAAGTGATTGGAGAGTCATTTGTCTAAATTGTTGTAGGGTCTTCTCCTTGAGCAGAGTTGTGTACTAGAAGACCTCCAAGGTCCCTTCCAATGTTGTGTTGTATAAAACAGATACAGAAAAAGTGGTTTGTGTTCTTATTTTATCATTCAGGTATTCTGCTATTCTGATCACCCAGAAGCTACTATAAGAATCATGATTTAGGTATTAGTAGGAGTTATTTAATAAATCACCATAGATTGCACAATAAGCATTAGTTAAGATGATAATTGACATTACATTTCATTGTCTCTTCTAAAAAAAATAATCAATTCTCCAAGAACTTTTTGAGTGGCTCATGAACTTTTCATGAGTGACAAGCTGAGATTTCTGTCTCTATCAGAGATTTAGGGGAATGAAGTGGTCCTTCTTAGATGTGGCTTGCATAGTTTCAAACAACTCTATCTTTGCAATAGTCAAATAATGCCTAAGTCTCTGATTCTAAAATCTGGCTAAAAGAAATGAATCAGACTCCCAAATAGCTTTGTACCAGTGAGGAAAGGATAGATATGTGGATTTATGTGGTTTAAGTAGTGGACATAAAATATAATTGAAGGACCTGACATAATTCCAAAAGCCTATTTTCATTGTGCTTCAATTTATTTCTACCTTTCCTTAAAATAATATCAAAGAAATAATGGAGTGGGCATGGAAATATACATGTCCATATTGATTATCAAATTTCTAAGCTTACATATTTATTAAGAGTTATTGGAATATAAAGAATGAGTGAATGAAATTTGAATATGTTGTTCTCTTCTCTGTTATATTGCTTTCAATTGTCTACCTCTTCTCTTTCAAGCAGCTTCATTCATTTCTTCAAGGCATTTCTTTCAACAATTCAGCTGGGGAGAGAGTGTTCCTGAATGAGAAAGGAGAAGCAGCAGGTGGATTCGACATCACCAACTTGATCACTTTTCCAAACAGATCTTTTCAGAGAGTTAGAGTTGGAAAGCTGGATTTAGAGGCTCCAAAAGGGAAGGAATTATTCATTGATGAAGATGTGATTTTCTGGAACCCAACTTTTAACCAGGTTTGAATTATGGTATTAAACATGCTTTAATCCATTATGTTCTGATATTGAAGTTAATCCCGTTAGAAATTCGATTTCTGTTTTTTTTAAATAAAGATTGGCACATTCTTTTCAAATTTTGTTGATGATCCAGCACTCATCAATGTGACAAAACGATATCACAATGCAAAAAGCCATGTTTCTATATTTGGTTTGCATTTCCATTTGAAATCACAAGAGTGGCCATGTTTCCATGAATTTATCATCCTGTGTAATTATCTGCTCTCCCTGCCCTTCAAACAGGACCTTTCCTACATCATTGCAAAACTAATTTCCCTCTATAAAGGATAAAAAATACAAACAGTTTTAAATATCTCCCTTTTCAAATCCTTTTATGATTATCACCAGGTTCCTCCACTTTCTCGATGCAATGACCCTTGTTTCCCTGGGTCCTGGAAGAAGGGGATGGAGGGGGATCAGTTCTGCTGCTATGACTGTGTTCCCTGCCCAGAAGGGAAGATTTCAAATCAAAATGGTAGGGTATAAATTCTACCATTTTTCCTTACATTTAAGCAAACATTAATAAGCTACTTAATGCATAAAATTGATAAGGCGATATTCAGTATTATGGAATGCATAGATGAAAAACTTCTTGACTTTTCTTATAGATATGGAAGATTGCTTTGAATGTTCAGAAGACCATCATCCAAATAAAGAAAAGAAAGGATGTATTTCAAAAGTGCTGATGTTTCTAACCTTTAAAGAAACCTTAGGAATTGGTTTATCCTCAGTAGCTCTTGCTTTCTTCTTCTTGACATCTTTGGTACTTGGAACTTTTATTAAGTACAGGGATACTCCTATTGTCAAAGCCAACAATCGGTCCCTCACCTACACCCTTCTTGTCTCTCTTCAGCTCTGTTTTCTCTCTTCTTTGCTCTTCCTCAGCCAACCTGGCAAAGTGACCTGCCTTCTCCGACAACCAACTTTTGGCATCACCTTCTCTGTGGCCATTTCTAGTGTACTAGCCAAAACCTTCACTGTGGTTGTGGCTTTCATGGCCACTAAACCAGGTTCTCAGATGAGGAAATGGGTGGGGAAAAGATTGGCCTTTTCTATTGTCCTCTCCTGCTCTCTCTTCCAAGTATGTATTTCCATTCTTTGGTTGTCAACATCTCCCCCATTCCCTGAGTTGGACACACATTCACAGTCCCAAGAAATGATTTTACAATGCAATGAGGGGTCAGCTTTCTTCTTCTATTGTGTCTTGGGCTACATGGGTATCTTGGCCATTGCCAGCTTTATTGTGGCTTTTTTTGCCCGTAAATTACCCGACAGCTTTAATGAAGCCAAGTTCATCACCTTCAGCATGTTGGCCTTTTGCAGTGTGTGGATCTCCTTCTTTCCAGCCTATCTGAGCACAAAAGGCAAAGCCATGGTAGCTGTGGAGGTCTTCTCCATCTTGTCCTCCGGTGCTGCATTACTGGGATGCATATTCCTGCCAAAATGCTACATCATTGTTTTGCGGCCACAGCTCAACCACAGGGAGCATCTCACAAAAAGAAATTAGTACTCCATGTGATCTTCTTTCCTCAAACAAATTGCTGACAAAAAAAGAAGAGAAAGTTTTCTACAAGAAAAATATATAAAAATATTTCTTTCAAAAGAGGATTTGTGGAAGATTATTGTTAACACTGATGTTTATTATAGGTGCACATTCCAAGAGAACTACTTGGGTGCTTCCTGGTTGTTGAATATAACATTTTGTCTCTTTCAACACTCTATTTCAGCAGTGTCAAACCTTATTTCATTGAGGGCCGCATCAGGGTTGCATTTGAGCTCGGGGGAGGGGCAGTAGTCATGGCCAAGGTGGGCATGACTGGGCTTGTCATGGCCAGGGTGGATGTGGCCAGCTCAATGTCAGTCATGAGGTGGCCTGGGCAGGGCTGGGGGGGATCCATTGTCTCCAGCGGAGGAAGGAGAGATCAGGGGGAGAGGCTGTGATGGCCTGCTACAGTCCTTTGCCAGCAAAAACAGAGCTTGGTAGGATGTAAATCTGGTGGCCCACGGGCTGGAGGCATCACACCTAGGCCACGCCCACCCCAGCTCCCTGAATGGGAAAAATGTCGTAAAAGGTCATGTGATGTCAATGTGATGCAGCGATGTTTAACGTCCATGGTTTAGAACCATGGTGCTTAGATGTGGCCTGCTAGCCCCCCTGGTAACATCAAAGGACCGGCCTGGTGACAGAAGAGATCTGAGGCCACTACAGGTGCCCCCTAACATGAGTGACATCATGCTGGCCATGCCTACCCTGGCCATTCCCCCCCAAGCCCCCCCCAAGGTCAAACACAGCTCTGATGCGACCCTCAATGAAATTGAGTTTGACATCCCTGATTTAGAATAAGGAGTATGGCATTTTTCACGAAAATCAGCTCAAATTCAGCTCAAATCCTAGAAAGAAACCTGGAGGAAAATTTTGAGTGTTCACTAGATGGAGGTGACAGAAAGTTGTAAATTTATATAGGTAAACATGTAGATATATAGATGATAAACATATAGGTAGGTATTTAGGTAGGTAGGTAGGTAGGTAGGTAGGTAGGTAGGTATTTTTCCTTAGACTTAAGCAAACACTAAAAAACTACTTGATGGATAAAATTAATGAGGTGATTTTCAGTATTATGGAATGCATACATGATAAAACTCCTTGACTTTTCTTATAGATATGGAAGATTGCTTTGAATGTTCAGAAGATCATTATCCAAATCAAGAAAGAAAGGATGCATTTCAAAAGTGCTGATGTTTCTAACCTTTGAAGAAACCTTAGGAATTGGTTTATCCTCAGCAGTTCTTTGTTTCTTCTTCTTGACATCTTTGGTACTTGGAACTTTTATTAAGTACAGGGATACTCCTATTGTCAAAGCCAACAATCGGTCCCTCACCTACACCCTTCTTGTCTCTCTTCAGCTCTGTTTTCTCTCCTCTTTGCTCTTCCTCAGCCAACCTGGCAAACTCACCTGCCTTCTCCGACAACCAACTTTTGGCATCACCTTCTCTGTGGCCATTTCTAGTGTATTGGCCAAAACTTTCACTGTGGTTGTGGCTTTCATGGCCACTAAACCAGGTTCTCAGATGAGGAAATGGGTGGGGAAAAGATTGGCCTTTTCTATTGTTCTCTCCTGCTCCCTCTTCCAAGTATGTATTTCCATTCTTTGGTTGTCAACATCTCCCCCATTCCCTGAGTTGGACATGCATTCACAGTCCCAAGAAATGATTTTACAATGCAATGAGGGGTCAGCTCTCTTCTTCTACTGTGTCTTGGGCTACATGGGTATCTTGGCCATTGCCAGCTTTATTGTGGCTTTTCTTGCCCGTAAATTACCTGACAGCTTTAATGAAGCCAAGTTCATCACCTTCAGCATGTTGGCCTTTTGCAGTGTGTGGATCTCCTTCTTTCCAGCCTATCTGAGCACAAAAGGCAAAGCCATGATAGCTGTGGAGGTCTTCTCCATCTTGGCCTCCAGTGCTGCATTACTGGGATGCATATTCCTGCCAAAGTGTTACATCATTGTTTTGCGGCCTGACCTCAACCACAGGGAGCAACTCATAAAGAGGAATTAGTTCATCATGTGATATTTCTGGCTCATCAGAAGGGTTGAAAGAATGCTTATAATAATGCTTATAATAATCTTATAGAAACATTTTTTTATTTCTGTTAAAGAACAGTTTATGTACGATATTTATGATTATTAACTTTTAAAATGATTGCCCATTCCAAAAGAAGTGATCATTTTGCTGCATTTTACCATTTTTCAATATTGATAGACAGACAGGCAGTCTATGAGAGAGAGAGAGAGAGAGAGAGAGAGAGAGAGAGAGAGAGAGAGAGAGAGAGAGAGAGAGAGAGAGAGAGAGAGAAAGAGAGGAGGGAGAGAGAGAGAAAGAGAGATGATAGATGATAGATGATAGATGATAGATAGGTGGATGGATGGATGGATAGATGATAGATAGATAGATGATAGATAGATGATAGATAGATAGATGATGATAGATAGATAGATAGATAGATAGATAGATGCAGATAGATAGATAGAGGCAGGCAGGCAGACAGGCAGATGATAGATGCTATGGCTAGGGCAAATGGACCAAATTATAATGAAAGTCCAACCCTTATTAAAACTATTAAAAACTAGTTACTCTGTACTTCTCTTCAAGTGATGATGCTTCCCCTGTTCTGATCATTGGTGGCAGGGTGTCCCACATAGTTTACCAGTTTTATAAATTGAAATTTAAGGAAAATCCTTGAATAAAACCTTATGACCGACCATTGTAAGGAATTTTCTTTTCTATTCATTTTAGAGAATTTATATGTTCCCCCTTTTACTGTCAGTGTCTGTGAGATGCTTAAAAAAAACCACACATACAAAGAATAAAAACACACCCTGGGGATAACAACCAATCAGTTGAGCCACTTCATAGGTTCCTGACCACTCTGGGTTCCACAGGCCTAATGTCAGGGCTCCTTCTGTTCATTTCCTGGGAAGGAAGAATCCTTGGCTCCATAGATTTAGAGAAAAGTACTTTTACTAGGAACAAACTGAAAGCAGACAATTTCAAGAAAACCATCAGGCAAAACAGTGCGAGCGCAACACCTTCAAACACAGTATACAGCCCAAGCCCCTTGTGTTGTGACTCTGACCCCCGAGCCCGTCTTATCGGAGGGAGAAGGCTCCAAAAGTGAAGGAGAGGAGTTGGCCAGGCCTCCCTCTCCAGGACCCTCCTCTCTGGCAATGCCTCAGGTGTCTCCCGAAGGAGAAGAGATTGGCCAGGAGCCAGTCGGACAGTGACAAAGATAAGTCTTGGCTGGATCCATGCCAGCATCGGAGAGACGAGCACACGCAGCAGAAAAGGAGGCATGCCAGAGATTAAGTCGACCACACCCCACAGGGGATAAAAGGGGTGGTGGTGGCCATTCAGGCTCTGTGATGGACAAAACTAAACAACTAGCGAGTCGCATTGTATCTCTGAAACTACATTATCTGCCTGCCTTGGATTTAATACGGACTGGACTTGATAATTCTGTGGCTTTGTGTATTTGTTTTGATTCTCTGTGAGTAAAGTTCTTGGCAAGCAGCTGGGTTGCTGCCAATCCTGTTATCGAAGGAATTTATTGTCTGCAAGTTTTATTTAACTCCTGGCTGATTGTTTATGTGCATGTGTGAGACGGGGACAGAACACCTTGTAGCTAGGCAACCGCATACCAGAGCCAAAGGATTTGATCTTGGAAATAGCAGTAGTTGCAAAGCTGTAATATAAGCTTCCCTCTATTCCCTCCCCCGTATTCTATGGCGGCAAGCAACAGGCTGGCTGACACCTATTGACCAAACCAGCTGCTCAGGCCTTTGCAAAAGAGGGTCAAAATGGGGACCAATCTAATTTCAGCAGAGATGATGTTCCAGAGGGAGGGAGCCATGTGTGGGTTCTACTTACTGTATTTTTCGGAGTATAAGATGCACAAGAGTATAAGATGCATCTTAGTTTTTGGGGAGGAAAATAAGAAAAAAGCTGATTGGTGGGTGGATCGGCCTCCTGGAATACCCCCAATAGCTGTTCCCAGAGGTGAATTTTAGCAACAGGTTCATTGTTGTTAGCTCTGTGCCTTGCTTTTCTTTGCTCTTTTTCCTGACTCTGAGAGCCTCCGAAATAAAGCTTCAGAAAAAAAGCCTCTGAAGCTCTGTTTGGGGGCTTCTTTTCTGGAGCTCTGTTTGGGGTTTTTTTGCTGAAGCTTCATTTCTGATGCTTTTTTCAGCCTCTGAAACCTCCGTCTGAGAATTTGGATGGGGCTACATTCAGAGTATAAGACGCACCCAGATTTTCATCCTCTTTTTTTGGGGAAAAAGGTGCATCTTATACTCTGAAAAATACGGTACCTTTACTACCGGTTCGCAACAGGGCCATGGGCATGCTCGCTTCTGCACATGTGCAGAGGCTTCCTGATGATGTTGGGTTCAGTGGGCGGAGCCTCCCACCGGTTTTACTACCGGTTCTTGTGAACTGGTCTGAACCAGGGGCAACCCACCACTGGAGGGAGCCCTCACAAAGAAGACACTTCTTCTGGGTCCCACCAGATGTCCTCACTTAAGAGAGAGGGCCTGCAATATTCCCTGTCTCCCTGCTCTACTGGATCGCATGGATGTTATCAGGAAGAGATAGTTCTTCAAATAACCTGTGTATTTTGTATTGCAAATTCCCCTCTGTACAATTTATTAGCAAGTGCGCATTTTAAAAAAGCATTTAAACTTCAGCCACTTACTCTCTCATCAGAAACAAAGTAATTATGTCCTACAGGAATCACCATATTTTCTTCACTAGGCAAAAAAAAAAAACATCAAAGGCTGCATAGAAGGTTATTTCAATTCAACAACAATCAACATGTCTTGAATCCTAGGGGATTGCCACAAGGATAATAATGGCTGCATGTCAGAGTCATTGCAATGAGTTTCCTCCCTCTATTCTCCTCTGCCAGTGTATTTGTTCAAACCCCTATGATACTCAAGACATGAAGATTCTCATGGATCTTCAAATACCCAATGGTGGATTTTCTGATTAGGTGCACTCTCAAATCTAAATCTTGAATTAATCACTGGGTTACCCATTGAAATAATACAAACTTCCCTCTGTGGTAGGATAAGAGAGGATGCAAGAGAAACATTTCTAAGAATGAAGATGTTGCTCCTCCTGGTATTCCTGGTGAAGAAAATAGAGACTCTGAGCTGCCCTGCAAGCGATGCTTTCCTTGTTCCACAGGAGTGGTACCAGCCTGGTGACCTCGTCATTGGTGGGATGGTGTCCCACATCATTTACAACCTTTTTCAAATTAATTTTAAGGAACATCCTTCTAAAGCATCTTATGATATAACAAAGTAAGATTTTGTTTTGTAATCTTAATGAATTTCCCCAAAATCGCTTAGGAAAGGAAAAAGTTTTCAGCATAAATGTAGACTTTATATCTAATCTAAGCCTCTGTCCTTCAAACATTTCTTTATAAAGTCAATTTTCTTGCTTTATGTCAAGTGTTTGTCATATAATGTATGAAACTTTGGTGCTGAACATCTTTTGAATAACATTTAGTAAGCTTAAGATAATATATATATATATATATATATATATATTAAAAATCTGCCTTCTCACACTTAACAAAACATACATGCAATAAATGGCTGATACAAACTGCAATTGTTTGCATTTTATTTTGTGAAGGATGTATTAGAAAATAAATGCAATACTGTGAAAAAAGCACTATTTTCATTTCTTGTAGCAGATATTGAACTTGGTTCAAATTATTCACTATTTTAGAAAACCTATTTCGTACTTTCATCAGAGAAAGAAATATTTGTTATTCACATAGAAATGATGCCATGTAATGTGATTAGTCAATCTCCTCTTTCAACTGGGATATTTAAATCATTTGCAGTGTAATAACTAAGTTCTACCAGCATGCCCTCGCCTTGGCCTTTGCTGTGAAGGAGATCAATGAGGACTCCCAGATCTTGCCCAATGTCACTCTTGGGTTCCACATCTATGAGAGTTACTATAATTCAAAGATGACCTATCGCACCACTCTGGACCTGCTTTTCAAATCCCAAGAATTTGTCCCTAACTACAAATGTGATAGCCAGAAGAATCTCATGGCTATTATTGGGGGATTGGATTTTGATACATCATCTTATATAGCTGAAATTATAAGTTTCTTCAAGATTCCACAAGTAAGTTCTGAAGCGGTTGAGAAGAAAATTCTTATTCTTATTGTTGTTATGCAATAATTATCATATTTTTTGGAATCTAAGACGCACTGGAGTATAAGACGCACCTTAGTTTTTGGGGAGGAAAATAAGAAAAAGCTGATTGGCAGGTGGATCGGCCTCCTGGAATACCCCAATCAGCTGTTTCCAGAGGTGAATTTTAGCAATAGGTTCCTTGGTTATGAGCTCTGTGCCTTGCTTCCCCCCCCTTTTTTTTTCTGCCTCTGAAACTTCTGAAACTCCATTTCAGAAAAACTTAATTTTCTCTGTTTCGGAGGCCTCTGAAAGCCTCCGAAATAGAGCGTCAGAAAAACAAGCCTCTGAAGCTCTGTTTGGGGGCTTCTTTTCTGAAGCTCTGTTTGGGGGCTTCTTTTCTGAAGCTTCTTTTCTGATGCTTTTTTTAGCCTCTGAAACCTCTGTTTGAGAAGCTGGATGGGGCTACATTCAGAGTATAAGACACACCCAGATTTTCACCCTCTTTTTTGGGGGGAAAGGTGTGTCTTATACTCTGAAAAATATGGTAATGGGCATCAAAGATTAAGCTTAATTTTCAGCTAAGATGTTCTGCATTGCTTAGCTTTCTTTTCTTAAACTACAATGCCACTTACAGAAAATGAATATCAGGTGTCATGCCATAGCTGGGAGATGATTTGAATTGGTTCTATTAAAACTATTGATCTGGTACATATATTTGAAATATTTCCAACAAATTTGTATCTATATTCTTTAAATATTGGTAGGGGAAAATATTCCTTGGATATATTTTATATGAAAACAAGATAGGAAAATTAAATTTGATCAAAAGACTCAACAGAATTTTACTTGACTTTCTTTTAGCTGACATATGGCTCATTAGCCCCAGAGGCATTTTGGACCAGTAAGCTCTCTTCACTTTATTTTATGGTCCCCAAAGAGGATCATCAGTACAGTGGGATTATCCAACTGCTTCATCATTTCAGGTGGACGTGGATTGGGATATTTTCTATAGATAACAACAATGGAGAAAATTTCTTACAGAAAATGCAGCCTTTACTTTCCCAGAACGGAATCTGCTCAGAGTTTATAGAAAGGCTTGATCAACAAATCAACTGGGAAGCCTTCGGTGAATTTTTACAAACAATCTCACTGATTTTCATTAATATGAGGAATAGCAAAACCAATGTATTTCTTGCCTATGGAGAATCCTGGACAATTATGAGGCTACGATTTGTAGCATTTCTGGTGGATCCTGAAAGCAAGGAAATGGCATTATTTAGAAAGGTGTGGATCATGACTTCAAAGATTGATTTTGCACTGTCAGGCATTCAAATGAAATCAGATCTCAAGATGTACCATGGGGCTATTTCCTTCACTGTTCACTCAAGAGCAGTTGCAGGTTTCAAGGAGTTTCTTCAGGCCATAAATCCTTTTTCAGACTGCAGAGATGGGTTTCGGCAATATGTTTGGGAACAATCATTTGATTGTTCATTTCCAAAAGCAGAGTTACAAGCAATGGACAATACTCAGTGCACTGAGGAGATGAAGCTGGAGAATCTTCCTGGGCCTGTGTTTGAAATGGAAATGTCTGGCCAGAGCTACAGTGTCTACAATGCTGTTTATGCTGTGGCTCATGCTTTGCAGTCTCATTACACATTGAGATTCAATAGGAAGAAAACTATGATGGGTAAAAAAACTGATCTTCCAAATCTGCACCCTTGGCAGGTATTCCCTTTGTATTGGCCTCCTGCAACCCTCTGCCATTGAAAACAGGGCTCGGGAGGGCCCTTCAAAAGCTCCATTTTCACTGGCAGATACACTGCAGGCCGATCTTTCACTGTTTTCCAGGGTGGCCCTGCAGGCCAGATCTAAGCGCCCAGCAGGCCTGATACATTCACTAGGCCTTGAGTTTGACACCCCTGCAATAAGAGATACTTAAAATGATAACTGAGATTCTTTTTCATTGCTTCCTCCAAAAATAATCCATTCTTCAAGAACTTTCTGTGTGGCTCATGAAAATTTTCCTGTCTGACATACTGAATTTTCTGTCTCTATCAGCGTTTTAGAGGAGTGAACTAAAAGTGGTCCTTTTTACATGTGGCATACATGGTATGAAACTAACATATGTTTGCCACAAACTCCACCTCTCATCTATCTATCAAAGAATGCTTGAGTCTCAGATTCCAAAATTTTGCTAAAGGGAGTTAGTCAGATTTCAAACTCGCAAACAGCTTTCTACCAATTAGGAAAGATTAGTTGTGATCTGTCTTGAATTAGTTGTTTAAGTCGGGAACCCAAATCATAAGTTACATAATGCCAAAAACCTATTTTCCTCCTGTTTCTATTCATTCTTACCTTTCCTTAAAGTAATATCAAATTAATAATAGACTGGACATATATATTTCTCTGCAATATCAATTATCAAATTTCTAAGCATAGAAGTTTAATAATAGTTATAGGAATAGTAGCAATGAGTGAATGAAATTTAAATATGATGTTTTCTTCTCTACTATATTGCTTTTAATTGCCTCTCTCTTCTCTTTCAAGTAGCTCCATTCATTTCTTCAAGGCATTTCTTTTAACAATTCAGCTGGGGAGAGAGTGTTCCTGAATAAGAAAGGGGAAGCAACAGGTGGATTCGATATTACCAACTTGATCACTTTTCCAAATAGATCCTTTCAACGAATTAGAGTTGGAAAGCTGGATCTACAGGCTCCAAACGGGAAGGAATTATCCATTGATGAAGATATGATTGTCTGGAATACAGCTTTTAACCAGGTATCGAATTAGTGAATTGACCGTGCCTTAATCCATTATGATCCCATATTGAACCTAGTCTCTTTCAAAATCTGATTTCTGGATTTTAAAGAAACAATGGAATATTCTTTTCAAATGTTGTTGATGATCAAGCACTCATTAAACTGACCTTGCTATGCAATATAAAAATTGCATTACAATACTATAAGATCCCAAAATGTACTTGAGTCACCAGAATGCCAAAGAGAGGGACCCAAGTAGAGGCTTGGAGAAAATATCAGCTTTTATTTGTACGAAGAAGAGCGGGATCGACCATACCACTACATGCAGACAAAGGGGATGCAGTGAAAGGCCACAACTTGCAGAACATATGACGTCCTTTTATACCTTCAGAGACTTCAGCTTAGTACCCAATTCTGGCCCCCTGGACCATGCCTTCCTTTGGCAGTGCATCAAGGAACAGCGGGGTTGAGTGACTAGCAACAGAGGGGCTGGGTGCTTAGCAACACAGGTATTTGCCCGATTTAACCCTGCCAATCCATGACATACCCCACTTCTTGAGATGTGCACTAGGCACCGAGTTAAACAAAAAAACAAACCAAGATAACAGAAGTTTGATCACTGATAGAAGCAAATGACAGAGGCAATTCTAATTCTTAGCAAAGCAATTCTTACAGAAGCAAAACAGCAAATCAAACCAAGTCTACTGACTCTACTATTATCTCCCACTAATTCTACCTATTCTATTATTATTATTATTATTATTATTATTATTATTATTATTATTATTTAATCTTTAGTGAGATTCACAGCCTTTGAGGCTGGTTAATAGCTCAGCAGCTCGAGTCCTAACCAAGGACCTAGGAACTGTTAAGGTATCAGTTGAGGATGCAAGCTGTTCCGAGTAAGGTAGTTTTTTGTAGAGTCAAAATGTTCAAGTCCGGCAAATTTAGAATTTCTAAATAGCGGGGTAGCCCTTTGGGTATTATTATTATTATTATTATTATTATTATTATTATTATTATTATTATTATTTCCCTTCATCTTTCGGAAACTTCACACCATGTTTAACTATTAGGTTTGCATTTCCATTTGAAATCACAAGACTGGCCATGTTTCCATGAGATTGTCACCATATGCAATTATTTGTTCCCCCCTGCCTTTCAAACAGGAACTTTTGTACATCATTTTAATTTCTACTTTTAAAATTTCTACATCTTTTTAAATTCAGTGTCCTTTGGGAAGTCGAACATAATTCCTCTCCCTTTAGGAGGAAAAAATCAAACTGTTTTAAATATCTCCAATTTCAAAACCTTTTATGTTTATCACCAGGTTCCTCCACTTTCTCGATGTAATGACCCTTGTATCCCTGGATCCTGGAAGAAAGGGATTGAGGTGGATCAGTTCTGCTGCTATGACTGTGTTCCATGCCCAGAAGGGAAGATTTCAAATCTAAATGGTGGGTAGACATTCTTCTTTGAACTTAAGGAACTTTTACTAAACCAATTTAGGATGCATAATGTTAAGTGAGTTTCAATGGTGTAGAATTATTACAATGACAAATTCATTGATTTTTCTTCCAGATATGGATGACTGTTTCGAATGTTCAGAAGATCATTATCCAAATGAAGAAAAGAATGGATGTATCCTGAAACTGGTGATATTTCTAACCTTTGAAGAAACTTTAGGAATTGGTTTGGCCTCAGCAGCTCTTGGTTTCTTCTTCTTGACATCTTTGGTACTTGGAACTTTTATTAAGCACAGGGATACTCCCATTGTCAGAGCCAACAACCAGTCACTCACCTACACCCTGCTTGTCTCTCTTCTGCTCTGTTTTCTTTCCTCTTTAGTCTTTCTCAGCCAACCTGGCAAAGTAACCTGCCTTCTCCGACAATCAATGTTTGTCATCACTTTCTCAGTAGCTATTTCTAGTGTACTAGCCAAAACCATCACTGTAGTTGTGGCTTTCATGGCCACTAAACCCGGTTCTCAGATGAGGAAATGGGTGGGGAAAAGATTGGCTTTTTCTATTGTCCTTTCATGCTCCATCATCCAAGTGTGTATTTGTAGTATTTGGTTGTTGACATCACCCCCTTTCCCTGAGTTGGACATGCACTCAGAGCTCCAAGAAATGATTTTACAGTGCAATGAGGGGTCAGCTTTCTTCTTCTACTGTGTCTTGGGCTACATGGGTATCTTGGCCATCGCCAGTTTTATTGTGGCTTTTCTTGCCCGTAAATTACCTGACAGCTTTAATGAAGCCAAGTTCATCACCTTCAGCATGTTGGCCTTTTGCAGTGTGTGGATCTCCTTCTTTCCAGCCTATCTGAGCACAAAAGGAAAAGCCATGGTAGCTGTGGAGGTCTTCTCCATCTTGTCCTCCAGCACTGCATTACTGGGATGCATATTCTTGCCAAAATGCTACATCATTGTTTTGCGGCCAGACCTCAACCACAGGGAGCAACTCACAAAGAGGAATTAGTACATCCCTGACAGGAACCGTGACACAGTGATTTTTTCTTCTAACCAAACCTGGAGGTGTGTGTGGGGGTAGAGGTTGGAATGCATTGCCAGACAAAACACTGATCTTTCTCTTGGGAACCAAGGTCATCTCCACAAGTGTCAGATGAAGAACGGTAGTGCCTAAAAAGCCTGCCTAGAATGTGACCAGTAACACTTGGGGAGGGAATCATTTGCTATTTTAATTACACTGAAATGCTGGAAAATGTTTAGAGTTGGTTTTCCATTTAAGTGTGCCGATATGATGTACCCAATAAAGAAGCTCTTTGTGGAAGATTTCAGCCTTGGAGTTTTGATTTGCTTGGGCTTATTAGCTGGAACCTGGACAGTATCCCTGGCACAGCTGAAGCTGTGGTGCTACAATTTCTGTGGCAAATGAGTCATGGTAGCCTCAAAGATGCTTTTTTTAAAAAGGCAACTGGACTGTTGTTTTTTTTCCTTGAGGAAGAAAAAATTTCACTTCTCATCCAAGAAGCTTCATTAATTCTGGCAGGATGGTTGAACTATGAAGGGATTAGTTCTGACAGGATGGCAGAAGGGTTGGCAGCATCAAATTTTCTTTGCAGTCATCTGGTCTTAGCATTCTCCCTGAGAGCTTTTGAGGCCACCTGTATCAGAGTGCAAATGGGGGTGAAATCTCCTTGGAACTGCTGAAGGGAAGTTCCTTTGACATTCCAGTTTTTCACCATTTGTTGCTGCTCAAAGAAGAGCCTCTAAGCACTATGTGTTCTCACCAACTCTCAGAAAGATATTGTAGGGGGGGAAATTGTATGAATTGAAAGAAATGTTAGATTCTGGATGAAGAGGTAAGGACATTCAGTATTTCATCCATTAGGGAGGCTAGCTTATGGAAAAATGCTAGGAATGTTCATGCCCCCAACTTTTTGCAGCAACTCCATCAGTATCTCTCTGAAAAACCCCATCACTCCAAACTCCCAGCTCCCTGCCAGGCTCCACCCCAGGAATTCATAGATGAAGGAGATAATAAGTGCCGAATGTTTGATGATGCACCACTCTCCACTTTGGTCATTCATATCCCAAGGGTGAAGGGTGACATTATAGATATTTTCCATCCCGCAACACCTGTGTCAACTGTTGATTTGGACAAGGGGAAGGCGGACTTCTTTGAAATGGCTTTGCTCCCATCACTCCCAACTTTTTATCAGAACTTGGATACTAAAGAAACCATGGAAGGGTGGGAGATTTGCTTTGAACATGTGTTATAAAGGTGGTGGACTGTAACTTTATATGTTTACAATCTATTAAATAAATGAGCCTCACGAAGATTTACAAACTAAACTGTTTCATTTCAGCTCTTTCTACAATCGTCCTGTACAATTGGAGTTCGGGCCTTTCTTCCTCAGAAGAGAGAGGCTTTAATAGCTTCAGCTCTTCCTCTGATCCTGAACAGGTTTAGCCTGCTGGCAAGCAGCTTCTAATATACTGTTTCAGTGACAGTTAGGGAAGTGACAGTTAGAAAAAGCCCGAGAGATTCAAAGCCAGGAGCTGCACTCTGATTGGCTTATTCAATTATCTAAGCCAAAGGCCATTAATAGGCACAGCAACTGTGAGGGAATTTATTTTCTCACAACATGCAATGAAAGAAGGGGAGAGGCAGGTGATATAGGAGACTTTTTAAATTTGCTCTTCATTGTCTATAGAAATAAAGAAGTGAAGATGAATTAGAGGATCAAAGGTGGCTTGTGATGCAATTTCAGGGAAAGAATCTGATATTTTTGTGCCTTTGCAATCCAGACTACTCCTTTCATTGAACATTCTCTATAATTTCTATTTTTTAAATGGACTTTAATTTGGTCTAGTGGTTAAGGCACTTGACCAGAATGCATGAGACTATGAGTTCAAGTTCTGCCATGAAATTTAACTGGTTGACATTGAGCCAAGTCACTCTGTCCCTCTGCCAACTGACCTCACAGGGTTGTTGCTGTCAGGAAAATAGGAGGAGGAAGGTGTGAGCTGGATATGTTTGCCACATTGAGTTATTTGTAAAAATAGTAAATTCAATATTCAGTAAAATAAATAAATAAAATAAAATAAAGTAAAATAAAAATGAAATAAATGAATAAATCTGTGAGGGATCTCATGAAGATCGATGGTTCATTGAGGGCACTTCCAAGAAAAGTCAGCACACAAGGATGAAATCAAATTAAGTCTTTATTTAGAGGAGCCTTGGTGGCGCAGCAGCTTAAGCAGCAGCTTAAGTGATACTAAAGTGATACCAGCTGCCTGCAATTACTGCAAGTTCGAATCTCACCAGGCTCAAGGTCGACTCAGCCTTCCATCCTCTCAAGGTAGGTAAAATGAGGACCCAGATTGTGGGGGCAATAAGCTGACTTTGTATAAAAAAGAACACCGTTTGGGGGGAGGGCAAAAGCCCTACTAAGCAGGTATATACAAAAGTATGAAAGCTATTGCTTAACGCATTGTAAGCCGCCCTGAGTCTCCAGAGAAGGGCGGCATATAAATTATTTTTTTTAAAAAGTAAAAGTAGAGTAAAATGAGTTCCCTGGCATGGGGGCATCCATGCCTGGATTGAGCCCATGGTTCAGTCCTGTAGGAAGTTAGAACAAGAGCCAAAGAGCAGCCCCTGTGCAGGGGTTCTTATAGGGGTCCTTTGGCCCCTCCCTTACAAGGTGTGTGAGGGGCTGCAGGGCCATTAACTCACCCCAATGGGGCTGCAGGGGCCGGAGCCCCTTGACCCACCAGTGGGATCAAAAGTCCCTCTTTGCTCCCATCTGGTGGCCTTTTAAGAAACTGCCATGGCTGGCACAAAACACCTAACAATTCCCCTTCTTGCCAGCCAATGACATGTGATGGTGAATATGTGTGAGAGGGCGAGCAGGTGTCATAGACATACAGATGCATCATTTACAGGACCAAACACAAACGCTTGCACAGAAGGTTGTGTCGGTCAATGGGCGCAGGTTTTGTGAACAGGTCAGGTAACTGGTTGGTTGTGTTACAATGTTTGATGTGTAAAAACCCCATTCTGACAAGCTGCCTGACATTCTTGTAGTGGATGTCTATGTGGTGGGACCTAGAGCCCACCGCGTATTTATTTATTTATTTATTTATTTATTTATTTATTTATTTATTTATTTATAATTTAATTTCTATACCACCCTTCTCCTGAAGGACTCGGGGTGGTGTACAGCCAATTAAAACACAATATATATACATCAATTTAAAAACTAATTAAAAGCATTAAACAATTTTGGCCCAGAATTAAAACCCAAAATTAAAACACCCAATTTAAAACCATTTACAAGGATAGCTTGGCCTGGCGGAACAGTAGGGTTTTAAGAGCGCAGCGAAACACATGGAGGTCGGAGATCTTACGTATTTCCAGGGGCAGTTCGTTCCATAGGGCAGGAGCACCCACAGAGAAGGCCCTCCCCCTGGGTGTCGCCAGCCAACACAACTTGGCCGATGGCACCCTGAGGAGACCCTCTCTGTGGGAGCGAACTGGCCGGTGGGAGGCTACTGGTGGCAGAAGTCGGTCTCGAAGGTACCCAGGTCCTAAGCCATGGAGAGCTTTAAAGGTGGTAATGAACACCTTGAATCACACCTGGAAGACCACTGGGAGCCAATGCAGCTCGTGCAGGAGAGGTGTCACGTGGGCGCAACGAGTCGCACCCATAACTACCCGCGCGGCCGCATTCTGGACCAGTTGGAGCCTCCGAGTGCTCTTCAAAGGGAGCCCCATGTAGAGAGCATTACAGTAGTCCAGCGGGAGGTGACAAGGGTGTGAGTGACCGTACACAAGGTGTCCTAATCCAGAAAGGGTCGCAACTGGCGTATCAGGCGGACCTGATAAAAAGCCCCCCTGGCCACGGCTGTCATGTGCTCTTCTAAAGACAGCCATGCATCCAGGAGGACACCCAGATTGCGAGCCCTCTCTGTGGGGGCCACGATCTCCCCCTCAATAGTCAGCGATGGCACCAGCTGACTATATCAGATGCCGGGAGCCACAGCCACTCGGTCTTGGAAGGGTTGAGTCTGAGCCTATTTCTCCCCATCCAGACCCGCACAGCCTCCAGGCAGCGGGACATCACATCAAGGGCATCATTGGGGTGGTCTGGGGTGGAGATGTACAGCTGAGTGTCATCAGCGTACTGATGGACTCTCACCCCAAAACCATGGATGATCTCACCCAGCGGTGTCACATAAATGTTGAACAGAAGGGGCGAGAGGACCGACCCTTGTGGCACCCCCCAATCAAGGCTCCTCGAGGTCGATCTCTGCCCCCCTGCCAACACAAACTGCAAACAGTCAGAGAGGAAGGAGGAGAGCCACCGTAGCACAGTTCCTCCTATTCCTAACCCCCTCAACCACTGCAGCATGATACCATGGTCGATGGTATCAAAAGCTGCTGAGAGACCTAATAGAACCAGGACAGAGGAGCAACCCCTGTCCTGAACCCTCCAGAGATCATCCACCAATGCGACCAATGCCGTTTCCGTGCCTGAAGCCCGACTGGTATGGGTCCAGATAGATAGCTTCATCCAGATACCGGGGAAGCTGTCGTGCCACCACACTCTCAACAACCTTCGCCACGAAGTGAAGGTTGGAGACCAGATGGTAGTTAGCTAATATAGCTGGGTCCAGGGATGGCTTCTTGAGGAGGGGCCTCACCACCACCTCTTTCAAGGCAGAGGGAAAGGCACCCTCACTCAAAGAAGCATTTATAATCCCCTGGAGCCAGCCTCGTGTAACCTCCCGGGAGGCCAGTACCAACCAGGAGGGACACGGGTCCAATAAACATGTGGCAGCACTAATCCTACCCAGAATCCTGTCCACGTCCTCAGAAGCCACGGGATCAAATGCCCCCAAGATTCCAATTGTGGCCATGTTATCTTCCTGAATTTGGATGGGCAGAGTAAGAGGTGCCCAGATGCTCGTTACCAGAGCATTGAACCAAATCAAGTCATTTGTAGTGTTCGATAGCCTGGCATATTCTGCCTTGGCCGTGGAACAAGAAACAAATTTTTGCTGCCTAACATGCCAATGGATAGGACAGCCATTTAGCAGTATGAGGAAACCAGAGGTGCTCCACCTACTCTTGGTGCACCAGCCCAGTCTGGGTCTGAGTAAGTGGAGAGCTGGGCCGGCTTGCCCTTCTCTGGCTCCAGCATAAGGAGGGCATTGGCCGTGCCCCTGAGGTACCTAAGTACCCTCTTGACATCATTCCAATGGAATTCCTTTGGTTTTTCCATGTGCCTGGACAATAGATTTATGGCTAGAGCTATGTCAGGCCTGCTCCAATTGCTAATGTATAGTAAGGAGCCATTACAGATCTGTATAATTTATTGTCTATGAATTCAGGGCTGTCCTTGTGATCGTGGCCATAGTAGTCACTTTGTATGGGGCTACGCATTGGGTTAGACTCTGCCATTTTGCATTTGGCCAACAACTCCTCAATCTGTGGGATAATGCAAATCCTTTTTTAGTGGCCAAGATATGCACATCCAGGTACCTGTCAACCCGCCCAAGGACTTCAGGGTAAATTTTTCCCCCAGGGCCTTGGCAAATTCATCACATCTTTCCTTGCCAGGCCCTACATATAGGAGGTCATTCATGCAAATTCCCCCATCTTTTTGACCATGGGGAAGCTCACATGGCCTAACCTCCGATGAAAGAGGTGGGCACATTTGGTATGAAGTAGCTTCCCCACTGACACCACCTTGGCTCTGGTTGCCTTGGGCTGTGCTGGCACCTTAGGCCTTTTCTTGGGCTTATCTGCCTTAGGTGCCTGCTGAGGTTTGGGTTTCTTGCCCGCATTGGCCTTGGAGGGCCGTGAGGCTGGCTGTGGGGCCTCTCTCTCTCTCTCTGCGTGCAGGCCCCTTCTGGGATGACACCCTGTGGGCTGTCTCTTGTCGCTGGGTATCGGGGGAGAAATATGGCAAACCATTTATAATGGTAACACTCCCAGGTTATTGGCAATAGAGGGAGCATGCAATACACCTTCAACATTGCCCAGCCCTGGTGGCCTTTTAAGAAACTGCCATGGCTGGCACAAAATACCTAACAAAATCAGATGTGGCAAATGAAAAGGATTAGAAGATGAAACATGCACGATGAAGTTGTGATCCAAATTCCACCCATTTTGTCCTTGCATAGTCAGAAGGATGTCATTTCCATGCCATCAAGCATTCATTTCCTGTTATGTTTATTAAAATTGCCATGAATCCTAAATCCTTTGTGGAGGACTCAGCCAGCTGGATCAATTGGGCAGGAGAGTTTTTTGTTTCAACCTCCCTTTGAGTTGTATAGTGCATGTAGTTAAGTGCGTATAGTTAAGTGTGTATAGTCAAGGCTATGGTTTTCCCAGTTGCAATGTATGGCTGTGAAAATTGGACCATAAGGAAGACTGAGCACCAAAGAATTGAGGCCTTTGAACTATGGTGCTGGAGAAGACTCCTGTAAGTCCCTTATTTATTTATTTATTTATTTATTTGTTTGTTTGTTTTTTTGTTTGTTTGTTTGTTTGTTTGTTTGTTTGTTTGTTTGTTTGTTTGATTGATTTACATGCTGCCCTTCTCCAGAGACTCAGGGCGGCTTACAATGCATTAAGCAATAGCCTTCATACTTTTGTATATACCTGCTTAGTAGGGCTTTCAGCCCCCCCTAAGCGGTGTTCTTTTTTATACAAAGTCAGCTTATTGCCCCCACAATCCGGGTCCACATTTTACCTACCTCGAAAGGATGGAAGGCTGAGTTAACCTTGAGCCTGGTGAGATTTGAACTTGCACTAATTGCAGGCAGCTGGCAACTAAGTGCTACTTTAACAGCACTTAGTTCACTGCGCCACCTTGGACTGCAAGGCAATCAAACCGGTCAGTCCTAGAAGAGATCAACCCTGACTGCTCTTTAGAAGGCCAGATCCTGAAGATGTAACTCAAATACTTTGGCCACTTAATGAGAAGGAAGGACTCACTGGAGAAGAGCCTAATGCTGGGAAAGATTGAGGGCAAAAGAAGAAGGGGACGACAGAGAATGAGGTGGCTGGATGGAGTCACTGAAGAAGTCGGCCTGAGCCTAAATGGACTCCAGGGGATGGTAGAGGACAGGAAGGCCTGGAGGAACATTGTCCATGGGGTCGCGATGAGTCGGACACAACTTCGCGACTAACAACAACAACAACCACCTTTGAGTTATATTTCCGCTTCTTGGCTGGGTCTACTCTTCGTGAAATTCTTCTGGGAGATATATTCTACCAAGAGTTCACAGGATTACATTGTCTAAAATGTTGATCTGCTAGATGGAACATAAATTCCTTATCAGAATCAGCTTCCTGTTTTTGCTCAGAAGAGCAGGCAAAATTAGGCAGTTTGGTTCTCCAACATGGCAGTGTTGGCAGCTGACAACTAAAGGAAAAACTCATTGTTAGAGTTGAATAAAGCAATGGTGGGGCAGCTCTGAAGAGAAGATGAAAATCATTAGCCTCCATCTTAGAGATATATCCTTGCTATCTATTCTAATCCTTTCCCTGGAGGCTGGTGGACCTAGTCCCAAGCTGAGTTACCATCAGTGATGGAGACACAAGTAATTTTATAGAGTAAATTGAGATTTTGCCCTGGTTTTACAATATCCGGCCCTGATGAAACAAGTTGTACATCAGAAAGAAGTAAGAGAAATAAAAATTAGAATTTACATTCATTAGGGAAAATAAGTCATAGTGTTGCTTTCTCTAAAATTATGTACAGTGCACACCTGGCTATCAGAGAAAAGAACAACAGCAAGAATTCCATTGTGTATTTTTAAATGAATTTCCTGCAGTTTGACATATACAATTTTTAAAAAATGTAAAGGTACAAAATGAGGACCCTGCCTTTAAAATGGGACAGTTCATGATGATATTTGCATAAGCCCTTGATGTATAATGAGGTTCTTGGAATGTAAGGTTCAGTAAAGAATCTGTATTAATTTAGAGCTTCCTTCCTTCCTTCCTTCCTTCCTTCCTTCCTTCCTTCCTTCCTTCCTTCCTTCCTTCCTTCCTCCCTTCCTCCCCCTCACTCTTTCCTCCCTTTCCTTCCCTCCCTCCCTCCCTTTCTTCCTCCTTTCCTCCCCCATCCCTCCTTCCTTCCTCCCATCCCCCATTCCTCCCTTCCCTTCCTCCCTTCCCTTCCTTCCTTCCTCCCTCCATTCCTCCCCCTCCCTCCCTCCCTCCCTCCCTCCCTGACAGCTAACAACCCACTACCCCAAATGAATGTAGTAACAAAAATTGTTCCACAGCTTTCTTAAAAGCCTCATCTGGTTCTCTGAGGAAATTTTCAATACTCACTATCTAAAAGCATAATTTGCTTGGAAGTTGACCTTTTGAATCCACTATTAAACTCAGAGAAAAGATTAGATATCACAGAAGATTACTTCCTTCCAGGGGTGGGTTCTAGTTACCTTTACTACCGGTTCGCAATGGTGCCACACGTGCACTCTTCTGCGCATGCGCAGGAGCATTTTGATGACATCAGGGTCAGTGGGCGGAGCCTCCCACTGGTTCTACTACTGGTTCTATAGAATCCGTGCGAACCGGGGGCAACCCACCACTGCTTCCTTCCCCTATTGGAATTCCTATCTTGATTTTGCTGTTTCATTGGGACTTAGCTACTCAGAAAATTAGCCTAGTATAGGGAAGCAGATGAAAACTTGCTCTTCCTGACATTTTGCTCCCTTGCACGTGACACATGACTGGCTTCCTCATATGTTCCAGAATTAGCTATCTGTCTATGTAACCATGCCCTGAATGCACTACTGACCTCCTTATTTTTTTTCACAGCAGCCCAAAAATTGTCTCTGCTGTAATACAGAAAATTAAATGAGCAAAGATTTTAAATATAAGATTTTACATAGATCTCAGGAAGTACTGTTGGAAGAAATATTCATTTGGGATCAGTTCCAAGTGGGGAGAAAGACACTGGAAATGTGGAGGCTAATTGGAAAGAAGGTTTATTGGTGGACAGGACCACATGGGTTTGAATGCCTGGTGCAGCTAAACACATGAGTTGAGAGACAGAGGTATTTATACCCTCTCTTGAGCCTTGCCCTTGAGCTTCCTATTCCTGTGTATGAAATGTATTCTATTGGTTGTTGTCAAACTCCCAGGGGACTGTGCAGGGGCCATAGCAAACTTTGTAGGCAGTCAGAATCAGGTTTGGTTGAATCTTGGGCTGATGTAATGTCCCCTGGTGCCATGTGGTTAGTTCTGCTGCAAGATGGGTTGAGGGCTAATCCTATTATATCCTAGGGGTGAAGGTCTTTTGTCTTGTAGAAAGGCTGGCCCAGTCTTTTGTCTTATAGATAGGCTGGCCCAGTCTTTTGTCTTGTAGATAGGCTGGCACCAAAATATCTGCTTTGGGCAGGGAGCTGAGGCTGAGTTTCTGTTTCCTTTAAGATTTTTATTTCTGTTTTAGGGAAAATATTCTGCCTTTTTAATAGTTTCTAAGATATTTCATTCTTCTAGGAGAGGGGTGGGTGCAAACTTTCTACAGTACATTGTGAAACACCTTCTAGGGAGATCTGGAAATGACGGAAAACTCCTTAAATTGAGGAAATTCCAAAATATCTATGCATGTTAATACTGTACAAAGGAAGGTGAACTGCATTTAGTATTCACAGTAAAAACAACATAATTTTCAAAAAAGAAGTGTATTTTGTGTTGAAACACACAACACACAATGTACATTCCCCTCTGTACATTTTATTAGCAGTTGTGTATTTCAATAAGAATTTAAACATCAGACACTTATTCTTTCATCAAAAACAAAGTAATTATCTCCTACAGGAATCACCATATTTTCTTCACTAAGCAACAACATCAAAGACTGTGGAGAAAGTTATTTCAATTCAACAACAGTCAATGTATCTTGAACCCCAGAGAGATTGACACAAAGATAATAATGGCTGTGTGTCAGTCATTGCTACAGGTTTCCTGCCTCTATTCTCCCCTGCCAGAATATCTGTTCAAACCCTGTTGCTATTCAAGACACGAATTTGCACTCTCCTGGATCTCCAAATACCCAATGGTGGATTTTCTGATTAGATGCACACTCAGATATAAACCTTGAATTAATCACTGTATTAGCTATTGGAATAATACGACCTTTCCTGTAGGATAGGATGAAAACGACAGAGACATTGTCAATAATGAACATGTTGCTGATTTTTCTGGTGCATAAAGTAGGTTCTTTGAGCTGCCCTGCAAGTGATGCTTTCGCTGTTCCACATGAGTGGTACCAACCTGGTGACTTCATCATTGGTGGGATAGTGTCTCTCACCTATTACAACCTTCATGAAATTGATTTTAAGGAACCTCCTTATAAAACATCTGATGACACACCAAGGTAAGGATTCTTTTTTTCTTTTTCTAATGTTAATCAGTTTCTCAAAAATTGCTTTTGAGAGTAAAAGGTTCTCAGTATAAATATAGGCTTTATATCCAATCTAAATCTACCTTTCAAATGTTTTTAGTTATGAAATAAACCTTTTTCTTTATTTTATGGTGAAATGTTTGTCCTATAATGTATGAAACTTTGGTGCAAAACATCTTTTGAAGAACATTTAGTAAACTTAAGATAATATTTTTTAAAAAAAAAATCTGTATTGTCACTCTGAGAAAAAACATTAATTCAATAAATGACTGATACATGCTGGAATTGTTCATATTCCATTTTGGGCGAAAAGTTAGGGAATGAATTCCATGAATAGGTTTCCACGAAAAAAAGCATTCTTTTTATTTCTTGTAGCAGATATTTTTTTTGCAAATCGTGCAAATAATGTAAACAATCAATTTTGAACAGTGTACAAATTATTGAGTATTTTAGAAAACCTATTACTCTCCTACCTTCATCAGAGAAAGAAATGTTTGTTATCTCATATAGAAAGGATTCTTATGAGAATTTTCCAACTTCCCTTTTTCAACTGGGGTGTTTAAATCATTTGCAGTATAATAAGCAAATTCTACCAGCACATCCTTGTCTTGGCCTTTGCTGTGAAGGAGATCAATGAGGACTTCCAGATCTTACCTAATGTCACTCTTGGGTTCCACATCTATGACAGTTACTATGATTCAAGGAAGACCTATCGCAACACCCTGGACCTGCTTTTCAAATCCCCGAAATTTATCCCTAACTACAAATGTGATCACCAGAAGACTCTCATGGCTATCATTGGGGGACTGGATTTTGTCACATCATTTTATATAGCTGAAATTACAGGATTGTTTAAGATTCCACAAGTAAGTTCTGAAAGGGTTGAGCAGAAAATTCTTAATTTTATGGTTGTTAACAGAATAATTAATGGGAATCAAACAAGATATTCTACATGGCTTAAGGTCTACTACTTGGCCTTCTTTTCTGAAACTACAATGCTAGTTACAGGAAGTGAGTATCAAGGATCAATACCTGAGGGAAGATTTGAATGGCTTCTTTTAAAACTGTTGATCTAGTACATGTCCTTGAAATATTTTCATGCAATGAGAACATCCTCAGAATGACAGAGTTAGAAGGGACCTTGGCAGTTTTCTAGTCCAAGAAATCTGTTAGTATATTCTCAAAAAAAAGGTTGCTAGGGGGAAAACGTTCCTTGGATATATTTTATACAAAAACAAGATAGGAAAATTAAATTTAATCTAAAGACTCTAAAGAATACTACTGGAATTTCTTTCAGCTGACATATGGCTCATTAGCCCAAGAGGAAATTCAGACCAGTAAGCTCTCTTCACTATATTTCATGGTCCCGAAAGAGGATCATCAATACATTGGGATCATCCAACTGCTTCACCATTTCAGGTGGACGTGGATTGGGATATTTTCAGTTGATAACAACAATGGAGAAAATTTCTTAAAGAAAATGCAGCCCTTACTTTCAAAGAATGGAATCTGTTCAGCATTTATAGAACAACTTCCTCAACAAGTCCACTTGGAAAGATTCCCAGAACTTTCTCAAATGATCACCATTATTTCCATTAATATGAGGAATAGCAAAGTCAATGTGTTTCTTGTCTATGGAGAAGCCTGGATAATTATATGGCTAAGATTAATAACATTTCTGGTAGATCCTGAAAGCAAGGAAACGGCATTATTAAGAAAGGTGTGGATCATGACTGCACAGATTGATTTTGTATTAGCAGGCACTCAAATCACATGGGACCTCCAGATGTTCCATGGGGCTATTTCCTTCACTGTTCACTCAACAGCAGTTGCAGGTTTCAAGGAGTTTCTTCAGACCATAAATCCTTTTTCAGACTACAGAGATGGGTTTCGGCAATATGTTTGGGAACAATTATTTGATTGTTCATTTCCAAAAGCAGAGTTACAAGCAATGGACAATACTCAGTGCACTGGGGAGATGAAGCTGGAGGATCTTCCTGCACCTGTGTTTGAAATGGAAATGACTGGCCAGAGCTACAGTGTCTACAATGCTGTTTATGCTGTGGCTCATGCTTTGCAGGCTCTACACATGTTGGGTTTCAATTGGAAGAAAACTATGATGGGTAAAAAAACTGATCTTCCAAATCTGCAGGCCTGGCAGGTATTCTCTTTGAATTGGACTCTTATTTCAGTGAGCAGTTTGATGTAGAATTATGTTTTGAACCCATTCCGGAAAAGTCTTAATATTTTCTGCATGTAGAATCAAGTTAATTATGAGAAGAACATAGAAATAAGAAAGAATGTCTTGATAGAACAATGAAGTAATGCAAAAACTTGCCTTCAGGAATCCTGGGTGCTACATAACTGGAGATTTTAAGGAAGTGATATGAGAGTCATTTGTCTAAATTGTTGTAGGGTCTTCTCCTTGAGCAGAGTTGTGTACTAGAAGACCTCCAAGGTCCCTTCCAACTCTCTTGTGTTGTATAAAACAGATACAGAAAAATTGGTTTGTGTTCTTATTTTGTCATTCAGGTATTCTGCTATTCTGATCACTCAAAAGCTGCTATAAAAAAATCATGATTTAGGTATTAGTAGGAGTTATTTAATAAATTGCCATAGATTGCACAATGAGTAAGTTAAAATGTGGATAATTTACATTATTTTTCATTGTCTATTCCAAAAAATAATCAATTCTCCAAGAACTTTTTGAGTGGCTCATGAACTTTTCATGAGTGACAAGCTCAGCTTTCTGTCTCTATCAGAGATTTGGAGGAATGAAGTGGTGGTCCTTCTTAGATGTGGCTTGCATAGTTTGAAACAATTCTATGTTTGTAATCATTGCTTCTCATTTATCTATCAAAGAATGCTTAAGTCTCAGATTCCAAAATCTGTCTAAAAAAAGTAATCAGACTCTCAAATAACTTTGTACCAGTGAGGAAAGATTAGATATGGTTTCTCTTGAATTAGTTTTTTGTTTTTTGTAAACTTAATTGGATAAAGTGACATCATTCCAAAAGCTTATTTTCATTCTGCTTCTGTTGATTGTTATATTTCCTTAAATTAATATCAAATAATTAATGGAGTGGACATGTACACTTCCATGCAATATTGATGATCAAATATCTAAGCATACATATTTAATAATAGTTATTGGAATAGGAAGAATGAGCGAATGAAACTTGAATATGTTGTTCTCTTCTCTGTTATATTACTTTCAATTGTCTATCTCTTCTATTCTCTTTCAAGTAGCTTCATTCATTTCTTCAAGGCATTTCTTTCAACAACTCAGCTGGGGAGAGAGTGTTCCTGTATGAGAAAAGAGAAGCAACAGGTGGTTTCGACATCACAAACTTGATCACTTTTCCAAACAGATCCTTTCAGAGAGTTAGAATTGGAAAGCTGGAACTAGAAGCTCCGAAAGGGAAGGAATTATTCATTGATGAAGATGTGATTTTCTGGAACCCAACTTTCAACCAGGTTTCAAATTATTGTATCAAACATGCTTTAATCCATTATGTTCCGATATTGAACATCATCCCTTCAGAAATCTGATTTCTGGTTTTTTAAAATAAAGAGTGGCACATTCTTTTCAAATGTTGTTGATGATCAAGCACTCATCAATGTGACAAAATGATATCATAATACAAAAGCCATCTTTGCATATTTGGTTTGCATTTCCATTTGAAATCACAAAAGTGGCCATGTTTCCATGAAATTGTCACCCTGTGCAATTATCTCCTCTCCCTGCTCTTCAAACAGGACCTTTTCTACATCATTGTGGTTTCTACATCTTTTTAAGTTGTGGATGAAATTAATAAATTCAGTATTATTTTTCATGAGATTGTCATCAAATGTTATTATTTTCTCACCCTGCCCTTCAAACAGAAAAGTTTGTACATCATTGTAATTTCTACTTTTTTTAATTCCTACATCTTTTGATCTATCCTTTGTCAAATAAAAAATAATTCCCCTCCATAAAGGAGAAAAATTAAAACTCACCAATTTCAAAACCTTTTATGCTTTTCACCAGGTTCCTCCACTTTCTCGATGCAATGACCCTTGTTTCCTCGGAACTTGGAAGAAAGGGATTGAGGGAGATCAGTTCTGCTGCTATGACTGTGTTCCATGTCCAGAAGGGAAGATTTCAAGTCAAAATGGTAGGCTAGGAATTCTTCCAGACTTCATTAGACTTAAGCAAACTTTAATAACCTACTTGGATGCATAAAATTAATAAGATGATTTTCAATAATATGGAATAAAGGAGAATATTTGTAGCTCATGGTTGGAATGAGGGGTCCTTGGTGCTCTCTGAGCTTGCTTGTTTTCTTGCAGTTATTTCATTACCGTAACTAGGTAACATCATCAGTGTGAGTAAGGAATGCTGTTTGTTGTCAGTTGTGTGGATATCCAGTGTAAGGACTTTATTTAATCTAGCCCAAACACACTTCTGCAACCCAGAAAAACAGAAAAGGGAAATGGAGCATCTATACAACACGTTGCAACAAAATATACACCCACACAACTTTATCAAAATGTCCGTTATAACTCAATCCAATATAGCACAACCAACACAAACCCTAAAAAGAATTATACTGCCATACATCAAGAATATCTCAAAAGCCATGATCAGACTATATCAGGGGTCTCCAACTGTGGCAACTTTAAGCCTGGTGGACTTCAACTCCCAGAATTCCCCAGCCAGCAAAGTTGAAGTCCGCCAGGCTTAAAGTTGCCAAGGTTGGAGACCCCTGGACAACTGCATGGAATCAGTGTAGCACACAAGCCAACAAGCCAACTGAAGCACTTCAAAACATCCTGAGCAAACCAAAAGATAGAGAAACCCCAGAAGAAAAACAAGAGTCATGTAAACATATAATGTAAGAACTGCAACAACCACTATCTAGGACAAATAGGCAGAAGACTGGCCGAATGCATCCATGAACACCAACTGGCGATCAGAATATATGAAGAAAATTCTTTAATTTCACAACATATAGACAGATTTAACTATAGTTTCAATTGGGAAAATGTGACAATCCTAGACCAGGCCAAGTCCAAAAATGCCAGGGAATGTCTACACTCCTGGCACTCTGACAAATCAGCCATCAATAAAGACATAGACATTAACAACATCTACAGACTATGCAAAAGAGGCAATCAATCAGACCAAAAGAGAACAAAAAGACTCCAGCACCTCTTCACCAGTAATCAGCACCCAGATCAGCATAAATTAACTCCAAGTTAACTTCACACCAACAATCAAGTAAAAAAATACCCCAATCAAGAAAATGCCAAAGAGCCATCAGTAAACAGCCGAACCAAAGACTCTCTAAGACGTCCCCATCCACACAGACAGGCAAGACACCAGAATATAACTGACAGCAAGCAGCACTCCTTACTAACACTGTGATGGGATCTAGTTTGGGGTAATGAAACATCTGCAAGAGTAACAAGCAAGCTCAGAGAGCACCAAGTACCCCTCAATAATATGGAATGCCTAAATGAAAAAAAATGCCCTTGATTTTCCTTCCAGATATGGAAGATTGCTTTGAATGTCCAGAAGATCATTATCCAAATAAAGAAAAGAAAGGATGTATCCAGAAAGTGCTGGTTTTTCTAACTTTTGAAGAAAATTTAGGAATTGGTTTAGCCTCTGCAGCTCTTTGTTTCTTCTTCTTGACATTTTGGGTACTTGGAACATTTATTAAGCACAAGGATACTCCCATTGTCAAAGCCAACAACCGGTCACTCACCTACACCCTCCTTGTCTCTCTTCTGCTCTGTTTTCTCTCCTCCTTGCTCTTCCTCAGCCAACCTGGCAAAGTGACCTGCCTTTTCCGACAACCAACTTTTGGCATCACTTTCTCAGTGGCCATTTCTAGTGTACTGGCCAAAACCATCACTGTGGTTGTGGCTTTCATGGCCACGAAACCAGGATCTCAGATGAGGAAATGGGTGGGGAAAAGATTGGCCTTTTCTATTGTACTTTCATGCTCTATCATCCAAATATGTATTTGTATTGTTTGGTTGTTGACATCTCCCCCATTCCCTGAGTTGGACATGCACTCAGAGTCCCAAGAAATGATTTTACAGTGCAATGAGGGTTCAGCTTTCTTCTTCTACTGTGTCTTGGGCTACATGGGTATCTTGGCCATTGCCAGCTTTATTGTGGCTTTTCTTGCTCGTAAATTACCTGACAGCTTTAATGAAGCCAAGTTCATCACCTTCAGCATGTTGGCCTTTTGCAGTGTGTGGATCTCCTTCTTTCCAGCCTATTTGAGCACAAAAGGCAAAGCCATGGTAGCTGTAGAGGTCTTCTCCATCTTGTCCTCTAGCGTTGCATTACTGGGATGCATATTTCTGCCAAAGTGCTACGTCATTATTTTCAGACCTGACCTCAACCACAGAGAGCAACTCATAAAGAGGAATTAGTTCCCCAAGTGTATATGTATACATCCAAATTACACTGTATTTTTCTCTGTGTCATTTAATATATATGTGGTTATGAGGGTATATGCATCATTTTGTATTTCTTTATTTTGTCATGTTTATGTAGTGTATATTGGAGGGGGTGGCCCTCTGAGAGCTGTATGCAATGAAATTTCCTTTTAATGTATGCCGATTATTGTACATTTAAAGTGACAATAAAGTTATTCTAAGTCTAAGGTGCCACATTTTTAATATTTTCCAAGATTCTTTCATAAAGCACTACTTAAATATAGTAAAAGGCTAATTACCATTTATGAATATATGTTTAACATAGCCTTCCATCATGCTCTGAAGACCCTATTATTCCAACAAGCTGGTCTGATGGGATAAAGGATTTTAAATTGGGTTTTGATAGGGGTTTTAAAATGTTTTTAGTTGGGTGTTTTAAATTCGGTCAACGATTGAATTATTTTAATTAAGTTTTTAAATTTTTGTTGTATATTGTTTTTACCATGGCTGTTCATCGCCCTGAGTCCTTCAGGAGAAGGGCGGTATATATATATATAAAATTATATATTTTATAGAAATATATAATTATATAATTATATATATATATAAAATTTATATATATATAAAATTATAGGATATCAGTTTCGGATTTGTTAGGCTTCTTCGAAATGAAAACTTATTGGGTTTGTGAATCCCATACATTTAACTGCAATTTAGAATAGACTTTCATACTGGGTCATAGCCATTTATTTTCTGTCCATAAATCTATCTTCATTGAAACCTGTTTTCAGATTTCAGTAACATGGAAAATTTGATGAAATTAAATTAAATGTGTTTTCCTTCTGCTTCATCCTTTATTCAAAGTTGTGCTGACCAAAGAAAGAAATAACTTTATTGTCATTGTACGTGTATACACAGTATACCCATACAACAAAATTCACTTAACACCGAAAGACCAGGTCCAACACACATAACAACTCCCAAACATACTGCCACCCACCACAATTCTCTACCCCTAAACCACCCAAACATCCACACAACAGACCAAGTAATGCTGTCCAACAGCTCACTGATGGTGGCCCTTTAGTTCATTGTTGACTGCAATTATAGCTGTGGGATAAAAACTATTCAGAAAACGTGTGGTCTGAGTTTTAATTGTTCTGTATCTTCTGCCAGAAGGCAACAGTCCAAAAAGATTGTAAGCAAGATGGGAAGAGTCTCTGAGAATGTTATGCAACTTTCTTAAACAGCGAGATTCGAAGATGTTGCCCAGGGCTGGTTGCTGGAGTCCAATGATATTCTGGGCAGTTTTAATGATTCTCTATACAGCCTTTTTGTCCACTACAGAGCTGCTCCCATACCATGCAAGAATGCCATATGTCAGAACACTCTCAATGGTGCTGCAATAGTAAGACAGAAATAGATGCTGAGATAGATTTATTTTCCTGAGCATTCTCAGGAAGTACAGCCTCTTTTGTGCCTTCTTCACAAGCATGTTAGCATTCATAGTCCATGAGAAGTCCTCTGAGATATAAATGCCCAGAAATTTAAAACTACCCACCCTCACCATTTATGTACAATGGTAGAGGTACTTCTCTCTTCCTGCTGAAGTCAATTATAAGTTATTTAGTTTTTCTGGTGTTAAGTATGAAATTATTTTCATTACACCACAATGTCAGCCCTTGTACTTCCTTCCTGTAAGCAGACTCATTGTTCTTATTAATGAGCCCCATAAAGACCATAATAATGATTTGAATTGGTTTGGAATTAGAAGTCTGGCATTTTTTCATTAAAGCAAGGGTGAAATCCACTACAATTCATAGGAAAAAAATGTGTACTTGTCACTGATTGAGGAAGGGACGACAAAGATGAAAATATCTGGGGGAAAATTGTGAGTGTTTCCCTACATGGAGATGATTGATAAATATATAGGTATGTAGGTAGGAATGGAGAGAGAGAGAGAAAGAGAGAAGGAGGGACAGAGAAGCAGAGTGTCTATGGACAGGACAAGTGGCCTAAATTAATATGAAAGTGCAATCCTCATTGCAGTTATGGTCAATGTTATAAATATAAACTCAAAGTACAACTTAGAAAATTGTCTAGATCTCAATAATAGTCCAACCCCTTGCCCAAGCAGGAGAGCCTATGCCATGCCAGACAATTGCCTGTCCAATCTTTCCTTATAAGCCACCAATGATAGAGCTCAAAACTCCTCAAGGCAAGCATTTCCAATGTTTACTTATTTTCACTGTCAGAAAATTTCTCCTTAGTTCTAAGTTGGGTCTCTTGTTGATAAGTTTCCATCCATTACTTCTTGCAAATATTGGAACACTGCTACCATGTCACCATGTCTTTCTCTTCTTTAGACTTTACAGTGTGACAAATGGTCATAAGTTACCTTTTTCAGTGTTATTGTAGCTCTTTGCTGTCCATTAGAAGTTCAGACTCCTTGCATTTCTAATACAGTAAAACAGAGCTCTGGCTTCTACTATTGAGCTGATGATCTGAAGAGAGACATTACAAATAAATGTTAGGCTACAATGCCTCTTTTCTCCTTTATATGCTCTATCACATACTGTAGATATCTACTGTGAATTCACACTTGGTGCATTTTAGTTTGTGAGATTTTCAACAGTCTTCTGTTCAGCAATGAAAGTAAAATGAAATGAGAAAGGGATGGGAGAAGAGGGGGGAGGAGGAGGAGGAGGAGGAGGAGGAGGAGGAAGAGGAAGAAGAGGAGGAGGAGGAGACCATAGTTAGACCTAAAGCTACAGTTTCCTATCCATTTCCAAACAGAATAAAACAACTTACTGCCTTCTCATAGCTAATATAAGCAGAAGGGTCACCCAACTGATACACAAAGGGGGGAAAACTATCAAATTTTATTTGTTTATTTATTAATTTGTTTATCAAATTTATTTGCTACCCATGGTCCAGGTGACTCTGAGGGTTTACATTATCAACAGAGATATCCCCTCCCTTCTAAGGGGGTCCAAAAGGAAGAGGGGGCCAACTTATTTACCAAAGCACCTGAAGTTAAGACAATAAGCAATGGACAGAAACTAATTTAGGAGAGAAAATTCTTAAAAATGAGAACAATCGATCAGTGGAACAAATTGCATTTGGAAATTGTGTGTGCCCCAACTTCCTTTTAAGGCTTTTAAGAAGAGACTGGACGGCCATTTGTCACAAATAGTATAGGTCTCCTGCGTGAGCAGGGGGTGGACTAGATGACCCCCAAGGTCCCTTCCGACACTGTTACTGTTACCTCTTAAAGTAAGTCAATGACAAAATATAATATCTATGCAACTTAATGCTATGCAAAGAATGGTGGACTAACTTATCATTCATTGTACAAAACAAAATAAAATAAGTTTCAAAAAATCAAGCGTATTTTGTATTGCAAATTCCCCTCTGTACATTTTATTAGCAGGTATGCATTAAAAAACAACAACAGTTTAACCATCAGCCACTTATTCTTTAACCAAAATAATTATCTCCTATAGGATTCGCTATATTTATTAACTAGTCAAAACATCAAATTTTGCACAGAAGGCTATTCCAATTCAACAACAATCAACACATTGTGTCTGTATGGTTATATGAACCCCAGGGAGATTGGCACAAGGGTAACAATGATTGTGTCAGAGCCATTGCTACATCTGTTCAAACCCTGATGATATTCAAGACACCAATTTGCACGCTCGTGGATCTTCAAATAGACAATGGTGGGTTTTCTGATTAAGGGCACTCTCAGATTAAAAACCTTCCATTAATCTCAGGATTCACCATTGTAATAATTCAAACTTCCCTCGGATGTAGGATAGGAGAAGGTGGAAGAAACACATTTTTAAGAATCAAGATGTTGCTCCTCTTGATGTTACTGATGAAGAAAATAGTGACTCTGAGCTGCCCTGCAAGTGATTCTTTCCTTGTTCATCATGAGTGGTACCAGCCTGGTGACCTCGTCATTGGTGGGTTGGTGTCCCACATCATTTACAATTTCTATGAAATTAAGTTTAAGGAAAATCCTTGTATAAGACCTTATGACTTATCAAGGTAAGGATTTTATTTCTAATCTTAATAAGCTCCCCCAAAATTGTTTTTATGAGTAAAATGTCGGTGTTATGTGTAATCTATGTAAGGAGCTGTGGTGGGGCAGCAGTTAGAATGAAGACTATGAGTGAATGCTTTCTCCAGGAGTGGATCCTGAAGGGCTCAAGGTTGACTCAGCCTTTAATCCTTCCAAGGTCGTTAAAATGGGGACCCAGATTGTTGGAGGCAATATGTGGACTCTATAAGCCACTTAGTGATGGCAGTATAAGTGAAGCCGTATATCTGCTATTGCTATTGCTAATCTAATTATCTCCATCTCTTTCTACTTATGGGAGAATAAACAATTTTCTTTACTTTATGGCAAAGTGTTTGGCATATAATATATGAGACTTTAGTGCAAAAAATGTTTTGAAGAACCTTTAAGGTATTTTTTTTAAAAAAATCTGTATTTTCACTCTTAACAAAACTTGCGTACAACAAATGACTGATCCTGCTGAATTGTGAAATCAGTTAGAAATAAATGTGTACCGTGAAAAAAAGCACTGTTTTTGTTTCTAGTAGTAGATATTTGTGGAAAAGCATGGCAATTCTGTATTAAAAAAAAAAAAAACTTTGTACAAATTATTGAACATTTTAGAAAGCCTATTATCTTCCATGAGAGAAAAGTTTGATATTTACATAGATATAATGCCATTTGATGAGAACTGTCAATTTCCTTTTTCAACTGGGGTATTTAAATCATTAGCACTGTAATAACGAAGTTCTACCAGCACATCCTTGCCTTGGCCTTTGTTGTGAAAGAGATCAATGAGGACTCCCAGATCTTACCTAACGTCACTCTTGGGTTCCACATCTATGACAGTTATTACAATTCAAGGATGACCTATCGCACCACTCTGGACCTGCTTTTCAAATCCCAGGAATTTGTCCCTAACTACAAATGTGATAGCCAGAAGAATCTCATGGCTATTATTGGAGGATTGGGTTTCGATACATCATTTTATATAGCTGAAATTACAGGTTTCTTCAAGATTCCACAAGTAAGTTCTGAAGGGGTTGAAAAGAAAATTCTTAATCTTATTGTTGCTGTGGAATAATTAATATGCAGTTAAAATTAGGCTTAGGTTTGTGTTGATATGTTCTGCATGGCTTAAGGTCTAATACTTAGCTGTCTTTTTTGAAACTTCAATGCCAGTTATATGAAGTTAGTTTCTGAAGACATTCCATAGCTGAGGGAAGATTTGAATGTGTATTCCATATTTCTTGGAATTACTTCAGATAAATATAACAGTATTACATGTATTTGAAGTAATTCCAAGTAATCCCTTTCTATATTAATAATTGGAAGAAATGCAGGAAAAAAACATTCCTTGGATATATTTTATATGAATACTAGACAGGATAATCAGATTTGATCTAACAACTCAAGAGAATACTACTCCATTTTCTTGCAGCTGACATACGGCTCATTAGCCCAAGATGCATTTCAGACCAGTAAACTCTCTTCACTATATTTCATGGCGCCCAAAGAGGACCATCAGCACATTGGGGTTATCCAACTGCTTCTTCATTTCAAGTGGACATGGATTGGGATTTTTGTGGTTGATAACAACAATGGAGAAAATTTCTTACAGAAAATGCAGCCTTTGGTTTCAGAGAACGGAATCTGCTCATCGTTCATAGAAAGGCTTTCAGAACAAATATACTTGGAAGACTACATAAAACTTGATCACACCCTCTCACATATTTCCATTCATTTGATGAGCAGCAAAACCAATGCGTTTCTCGTCTATGGAGAATCATTGGCAATGATGTGGCTGAGAGTTGTCATGTTTCTGGTAGATCCTGAAAGCAAGGAAACGGCATTATTAAGAAAGGTGTGGATCATGACTGCACAGATCGATTTTCTACTATCAGGCACTCAAATCAGTTTGGCTCTCCAGATGTTCCATGGGACTATTTCCTTCTCCGTTCATTCAACAGCAGTTGCAGGTTTCAAGGAATTTCTTCAGGCCATCAATCCTCTTTCAGACAGCAGAGATGGGTTTCTGCACAATGTTTGGGAACAATCATTTGATTGTTCATTTCCAAAACCAGAATTACAAAAAATGCAGAGTAGGCAGTGCACTGGGAAGATGAAGCTGGAGGATCTTCCTGCACCTGTCTTTGAAATGGAAATGACTGGCCACAGCTACAGCATCTACAATGCTGTTTATGCTGTAGCTCATGCTTTGCAAGCTCTGTACATGTTAAGGTTTAATAAGAAGAAAACTAAGATGGATAAAGAACCAGACCTTCCACATTTGAAGGCTTGGCAGGTATTCCCTTTGCATTGGACACCTCTTTTATTTTAATGAGCAGAATTACTTTTTGGAACCATTCTGGAAAATCGTAATATTTTCTACATGTTCAATGAAGTTAAATGTGATCAGTGAGAAGCCACTGTATGAAAATTTGTTTAGATGGCAGTAGGAGTTATGTGTTGGTTGCCTAATAAGAGATGATTAAAACAAGTCATTTAGATTACTATCCATTGTCCCCTACAAAAATAACCGATTGTCTAAGATACTTTGTGTATCTTGGAGAATTGGTTTTCCAGGAATTGGCTTTCGGGTTCCATGGGCTGAGTTTTCTGTCTCTATCAGAGTTTCAGAGGAATGAGAAAAAAGATGGCCCTTTTTCAATGTGGCATCCATAGTATGAAACAACCATAGGCAGGGGGATGGGAAATCATGCCTCTCAGCTGCACCAATGGAATTTATTCCTCAGTCATAACAAGACACAGTCTGGCCGAGCAAGTCAAGGTCATCTCCATAGATACCAGCAATGGAAGGAGGGAGTGACTTCTACAACTCGCGAAATTACCTCGTTGGGGAATGTGACAGGTGAAACACTTTGGTAGGGGAGGGTGAAACAGGGTCAGAGGCAAGGCGCGAAGGGGGTGAAGTCAGAATTGGCTTCACCTAGGTTATGCTGACATGGTGCTCCTAATAAAAGACTGGGTTTTTATTGCCAGATGGCTTAAGACTCTTAATTGCATTAGGGCACTGGTCAGAAGCCCGACACCTATGTTTCCAATAATTTCCAACTCTCCTCTATCTATGGAAGAATGCTTGAGTCTCATGTTCTAAAATCTGGCTAAAGGAAATTAGTTAGACATCAAACTGTTTTATAGCTTTGTACCAATCAAGAATGATTAAATATGACCTGGTTTTAGTCAACTGGAGGGGCCTATTTTATAATGGAAGACATTTGGATATTTTCTATTTTTCCTTAAAATAATACCAAATTAAAAATAGGGTGGAAATATACTCCCTGTCTCTTTCATTCTCTTTCAAGTAGCTCCATCCATTTCTTCAAGGCATTTCCTTTAACAATTCAGCTGGGGAGAGAGTGTTCCTGAATGAGAAACGGGAAGCAACAGGTGGATTCGACATCATCAACTTGATCCCTTTTCCAAACAGATCCCTTCAGAGAGTTAGAGTTGGAAAGATGGATCTCCAGGCTCCAAAAGGGAAAGAATTATTCATGGATGAAGATTTGATTGTCTGGCACCCAACTTATAACCAGGTATAAATGGAGTCATTGATGCAACCATGCCTGGATCCATTTTTTTTAAAATTTGATTTATATGCCGCCCTTCTCTGGAGACTCAGGGCGGCTTACAATGCATTAAGCAATAGCCTTCATACTTTTGTATATTTATACAAAGTCAGCTTATTGCCCTCACAAACTGGGTCCTCATTTAACCTATCTTAGAAAGGATGGAAGGCTGAGTCAACCTTGAGCCTGGTAAGATTCGAACCTGCAGAAATTGCAGGCAGCTATGTTAATAACAGGGTGCATTAAACCACTGTACTACCAAGGCTCCATTAGGATCCCATATTGAACATAGTCAATTTAGAAATCTAATTTCTGTTTCTTAAAATAAGACACGACATATTCTTTTCCAAATGATGTTAATCATCAAGCATTGATCAAATGGACAAAATGATATTATAACAAACAAACACAAAAGCCATGTTGCCATATTTGGCCTAAATTTCCATTTGAAATCACAAGAGTGCCCATTTTCCCATAAATTTTCACCACATGCAATTGTTTACTCTCCCTGCACTTTAAACAGGAACTTTTGTATATTATTGTAATTTCTACTTCTTTTAAATTTATATTTTACATCCAAGTCCATAAACTGAGAAGCCATTTGGGAATCTGAAAATAGTTTTACTCCATAAAAGAGAAAAAAATCAGAATTTGTTTTAAAAATCAAACTTTTCAAAACGTTTTTTATGCTTATCACCAGAACCTTCCGTTTTCTCAATGCAATGATCCTTGTTTCCCTGGATATTGGAAGAAAGGAATTGAGGGAAATCAATTCTGCTGCTATGACTGTGTTCCATGCCCAGAAGGGAAGATTTCAAAACAAAATGGTACGATAGAAATTATACCAAAATTCATTAGAATTAAGGGAACTTTAATACGCTACTTTAGGATGTCTAAAAGTGATTTTTCAATAATTTGGAAGTTCTAGATGACAAATTCCTTGATTTTCCTCGCAGATATGGATGACTGTTTTGAATGCTCAGAAGATCATTATCCAAATAAAGAAAAGAATGGATGTATTCTGAAACCAGTGGTGTTTCTCAATTTGGAAGAAACTTTAGGAATTGTTTTATCCTCAGCAGCTCTTGGTTTCTTCTTCTTGACATCTTGGGTACTTGGAACTTTCATTAAGTACAAGGATACTCCCATTGTCAAAGCCAACAACCAGTTACTCACCTACATCCTGCTTGTGTCTCTTCTGCTCTGTTTTCTCTCCTCTTTCTTCTTCCTCAGCCAACCTGGCAAAGTGACCTGCCTTCTCCGACAATCAATATTTGGTATCACCTTCTCAGTAGCCATTTCTAGTGTACTGGCTAAAACCATCACTGTGGTTGTTGCTTTCATGGCCACTAAACCAGGATCTCAGATGAGGAGATGGGTGGGGAAAAGATTATCTCTTTCTACTGTCCTTTCCTGCTCTCTCTTCCAAGTATGTATTTGTATCCTTTGGTTGTCAACATTTCCCCCATTCCCTGAGTTGGACATGCACTCAGAGCTCCATGAAATGATTTTACAATGCAATGAAGGGTCAGCCTTCTTCTTCTACTGTGTCTTGGGCTACATGGGAATCTTGGCCATTGCCAGCTTTACTGTAGCTTTTCTTTCCCGTAAATTACCTGACAGCTTTAATGAAGCCAAGTTCATCACCTTCAGCATGTTGGCCTTTTGCAGTGTGTGGATCTCCTTCTTTCCAGCCTATCTGAGCATGAAAGGAAAAGCCATGGTAGCTGTGGAGGTCTTCTCCATCTTGGCCTCCAGTGCTGCATTACTAGGATGCATATTTTTCCCAAAGTGCTACATCATTGTTTTGCAGCCTGACCTCAACCAAAGGGGGAAACTCATAAAGAAGAATTAATACCGTATGTGATATTTATGCCTAGAAGAAATTGCTGAAAAAGAAATAGAAAGACTGTTTGCTGTCCACAATATGGACAGTATATACAGTATATAAAACTTTTTACTTTTGTTAAACAACAATTTATGTTGGATATTTTTGATTATTAAGATTTATTGCGATTGTACCTTCCAAGAGAAGTGTTCATGTAGCTCTGTTTTCAACATTTTGCAAGATTCTTTAACCTAATCTTTTCTCCCTTTCAACACTCTTATTGCTTTCTTAATTCCTGTTAGGATGTTTGAGATATTGACGCAACCAATTTCCAATGTCTGTAGTAACATTTTCATGGTTTTTCTACTTTCAATTCATAAAGCACTACATAAATTTAGTAAAATTTACCCAGAAGCAAATTGTCAGCCAATGCAACTCCTGCAGGAAAGGTGACACGTGGACATACCTGGGTCTGAACAAAACCATGGTGGTGGCTGCATTTTGAATCAATTGGATTTTCCAGATATTCCAGCAGCTCCATGTAGGTCCCCATGTAGAGTTCTGATTTATTAATTAGTGGCATAGTGTCCCACATAGTTTATCAATTTTATGAATTGAAATTTAAGGAACATACTTGTATAAAACCATATAGCATCCCATTGTAAAAGGTTTTTTTCTCCTTTATATAATCTTAGCCAATTCCCCCAAAATTGCTTATATGAATAAACAGTGTTTCAGCATACAGTAAATTTAGGCTTTGTTTCTAATCTACAACATCTCTGTCTTTCAAATGTTTCTAGTTATGGGAGAAGAAATACCGTATTTTTGGAGTATAAGACGCACCTTTTATCCCCCAAAAAGAAGGTGATAATCTGGGTGCGTTTTATACTCTGAATGTAGTCCTGCCCAGCCTCGCACACAGAGATTTCAGAAGCTGAAAGAAGCCTCTGAAAGGAGCTTCAGAAAAAAGCCACTGAAAGGCTTTTGTCTAAAATAATATGGCAAGCAACAAAAGAAGAATCAGTAAAGGTTCTAACCAAACTATGCTAACAAATCTGGAGAATGACACAATAACCAGCAGAGGTTAATCTATATACCAATACCAAAGAAAGGAGATTGAACAGAGTACAGATGGTCCTTCAGAATAAAAGCCTCTGAAAGAAACTTCAGGAAAAAAAACCCTCCAAACAGAGCTTTTCTGAAGCTCTGTTTCAGAGATTTTCAGAGGCAGAAAAAAAAAGTTTTTTTCTGAAATGGAGTTTCAGAAGTTTCAGAGGCAGAAACAAAAGCAAGTCACAGAGCTCACAACCAACAAACCTTTTTTCTAAAATTCACCTCTGGGAACAGCTGATTGGGGATATTCCAGGAGGCTGATTCACCCACCAATCAGCTTTTTTCTTATTTTCCTCTCCAAAAACTAAGGTGTGTCTTATACTCCGAAAAGTACGGTAATATTCTTTAGAATATGTTAAAGTCTTTGTCAGAGAATGTATGGAATTTTGATGCAAGAAATATTTTAAAGTGCTTTAGAGAATGGAAGGTAATTTATTTTTAAAAAATCTGTGTTGTTTCTCCTAAACATTCCTACAATGGATGACTAATCCCTGTTGGATCTGTTCATTTTAAGATAGATTTTCTCATTAGGTGCATTCTCAGATATAAGCCTTGGATCAATCTTTCAATGAAGTATTGAATTATAAGTACTTCCAAATCAGTAGAATAGGAGGCAATCCATTTTCACAATGACAAAAAGCATGAAGATGTTTCTTGTGATGTTTTTGGTACACAAAGTAGTTGCTCTGGGATGCCCAGCAAGTGATGCTTTCCTTATTCCACATGAGTGGTACCAGCCTGGAGACTTCATCATTGGTGGCATGCCATCTCACTTCAGTTACCACCTTTATGAAATTAAATTTAGTGAAAATCTTTCTTAAAAACCTTATGAAATACCAGTGTAAGATTTTTTTTCTCTGTATAATCTTACCCAGATTTTCAAAAATCCTTTATATGACTAAAAGTTATTTGTGCATAAATGTAATATTTTTAATATCATCTATGCCTTCTCTTTCTTTCAATTGTATCGGTTATGAAAGAAGAAATTACCCTCTTTACATTATTTTAAAGTTTTTCACTTTAAACATTTCTACATTTCACTGAAATGTACAAAATTTCAGATCAAGAAGTTCTATATGAACACTTTCTGAGGGAAAGATAATTTTTAGAAAAGTTTGACATTATCTTCTCACAAAACATATATACAGTGGAATCATTTCTTGAAAATCTCAGATTAAATATAATACTTTGAAAAAAGTCAGTACTTATATTTTTGCAGTATATATTGGTTGTAAATCATGGAATACTGGATAAAAGTGGAACTCTGTAGTAATTATCAATAAAGTAGAATATTTTAGTTCATATCTTAAAATGAACAGATCCAACAGGGATTAGTCATCCATTGGAGAAACAACACAGATTTTTTAAAAATAAATTACCTTCCATTCTCTAAAGCACTTTAAAATATGTCTTGCATCAAAATTTCATACATTCTCTGTCAGTAAATTACCTGACAGCTTTAACGAAGCCAAGTTCATCACCTTCAGCATGTTGGCCTTTTGCAGTGTGTGGATCTCCTTCTTTCCAGCCTATCAGAGCACAAAAGGAAAAGCCATGGTAGCTGTGGAAGTCTTCTCCATCTTGTCCTCCAGCACTGCATTACTGGGATGCATATTCCTGCCAAAATGCTACATCATTGTTTTGCGATCTGACCTCAACCACAGGGAACGTCTCACAAAAAGAAATGAGTAAATCATGTGATGTTTCTTTCTAGGTAAAATTGCTGAAAAAAAGAATAGAAAATCCATTCGCTGTCTACAGGAAGTATATATAAAACCTAAAGGAACATACAAGCTTTTATTTCTGTCAAGGAAAGATTTATGTAGGGTATTTAAGATTCATTCATATTTAAGCCCATTCCAAAGTAAGTGTTCATGTTGCTGAGTTTCCATCATTTAACCTAATCTTTAACCTAATCCATTCTCACTTTCAACATTCTTGTTGAACTTGACTTTGATCTAGTTTTCTTAGTCGCTATTAGGGTATTTCAGTTATTGATTCAAGTGATGTCTGGTGTTTGCAGAGACATTTTCATGGTTTTCATACTTTTAGTTCCTAAATCACTGTGCAAATATAGTAAAAAGCTAATTACCACTTCATGAATATCTATTTAATACAGTGTTATAGGATATTAGTTTGGATTTGTTAGGGTACTTTGAAATGTAATATACACTGAGTTTGTGAACCCTGTATACTTAACTGTATTTTTAAAAAATGCTTTCATACTGGGTCCAAAATATTCATTCCCTACCCATAAATCAATTTGCATTGTAAACTGTTATCAGGTATTAATAATATGGGAAGTTTATTGAAATGAAATAAAAAATGAAAAAACAAACAAAAATACAATCCTAGGCTGCATTAATAGAGGGATAGAATCAAGATCACATGAAGTTCTAGTATCAGCCTTAGTAAAATCACACTGGGAATATGGTATCCAGTTCTGGTCACCACACTATAAAAAAGATGTTGTGACTCTAGAAAGAGTGCAGAGAAAAGCAAGAAAGATGATTGACTAACACATATAAGGAACAGTTGCAGGAATTAGGTATGCCTAGCCTAGTAAAGGGGACGTGGTGAATCAATGGCTAAGACACTGAGCTTGTCAATCAAAAGGTTGGCAGTTCAGTGCTTCAAATCCCTAGCGCTGCATAATGGGGTGAGCTTCCGTTATTAGTCCCAGCTTCTGTCAACCTAGCAGTTTGAAAGCACATAAAAAAATGCAAGTAGAAATATAGGGACCACCTTTGGTGGGAAGGTAACAGCATTCTGTGCACCTTTGGTGTTTAGTCATGCTGGTCACAAGACCATGGAGACGTCTTCAGACAGCGCTGGCTCTTTGGTTTGAATCGGAGATGAGAACCGCCCCCTAGAGTTGGGAATGACTAGCACATATGCGAGGGGAACCTTTACCTTTAGTCTAGTAAAAAGAAGTACTGGGGTGACACGTTAACAATGTTCCAATATTTGGGGGGCTGCCACAAAGAATACGGGGTTCAATCTATTCTCAAAAGCACCAGAAGACAACACAAGACAAAAAACAATGGATGAAAACTAATCAAGGAGAGAAGCAACCTAGAACTAAGGAGAAATTTCCTAATGGTGAGAGCAATCAACTAATGGAATAGCTGGCCTTCAGAAGTTGGGGGTGCTTCATCACTGGAAGCTTTGAAAAGGAACCTGGACAACTACCGGAATTGGTTTGAAATGGTTTAGGATCTCCTGCTTGAGTGGGAGAGGTTCGATTAGAAGATCTCCAAGTTCCTTTGCAACTCTATTATTTTATGTTCTTTGTATTCTCCCTTCCATCTCATCCTTTATTTAAAATGTATGCTGACTAATCATCATAATAAAGAGTAACTTGATTTGGTTTGCAATTGCAAGTCCGGAAATTTTCAAGAAAATCAAATCTGATAGAGGAAGAGATCACAACATGAAAATACCGGGGAGGGGGAGGTTTTGTCTGCAGACCAGAGAGACGTGGTCTCACATGCTGCCTGCATCCTACAGATGGGGCTTAGCTTCTTTGTGAAGCCTGATTGGGGACCCCTGCTTTCGCTTATGTTAAAGTGTTTGCAATAGAAGGCAGGTTTTTGTATATACCACACAAAAACTTCAGTACAAGGAATCTTTTGAAGATTTTTAGTGAGCTTAAGATATATTCTTTTTCAGTTCTGCATTTTTACTCCTTGAAAAAAATACCTACAATAAATGACCGATACCTGCTGGATCTATTCATATTTTATTTTGTAAAAAAAATGGTAGAAAATAAGTGTGGTAACCTTGAAAAAAGCATTATTTTTTATTTCTACAATTTCAACAATTAAATACACATTCTATTGCAAGTGTTCCACAGGCTATTTTCATTGGTCTTTGCTCATAAAAAAAAAATAGCTGAACCATCAACCACTTAT